TCCATTATTTAATATTATTAAAAAGAGCGTCAAAACTATTTACCTGAGAGCATGCAGGCTGTATTGCGGGATATTTACGAAATTTAATGATTCTCATCAACTCATACTTTGAGACATTCGATAAATAAAGAATGTTCTTTAAACGCTGTTCAATATCACCACTGGAAATAAGGTAAACCGAGAAAAGTTCCTGATATATGCTGTACGGACTAAAAACAAAATCTTCCTTTAGCTTGATCGACGCATATTTATGCAGACTTGTCACAGCGAACTTGAACATCGCCTCTGATATATAAGAATCTGGAAAATAAAAAAGAATATAAAGAAAAATTGAGAGAAATTGACAGAAGGGATATGTTAGAATTAACAATGATGATTAAATTACAAATGTTGAAATTAATAAATAAGTTATAACAATTTACAAAATTTGTTATTAAATAAATGAAAATACAGTGTACGTAACGTCTTCAAATCTTTTCGTCACTTTTTTACATGTCTGTAAACAGACATTTTTAACATCTAAAAAATTTAACACTAAATTCGAAATACGATAAAATAAAAAGTATGCGTACATAGAACGATAATCGAAAAAGAAATAGTTTCGAGAGGTAAATGTATTCTTACATATTTTATGTTTACTAATATGTGCATAATCAAACTATACAAATTATATTAATTAACGAACTCGTTGAAAAGTATATTGATTATATTTCCAGAAATTAAAATGTACACAAAATTCGAAATTGGTCAATAATTATAATTATGGACATTTATAAACATCTGACATTTATTTAAATATAAATTTAATCATCTACGTAGTATAAAAGTTGTACCTAACTATTGAACTTATTAGGTGTATATTGTTTAATTTTGAAACGATTTTCTAAAATACGTTATTAATACCGACGTATTTAGAAATGTGTAATGTACGCGATTCTACTTAAATAAACATAATCCCAAGATTTGCTATATGTATAATTGTTATCATTATCATATCAAGAGCACTTTATGAAAATTAATTCGTATCGTATTTACCGGAGTTATAAATTTGCCAGCATTCTCATATCTTTAAATCCCGTTTTAAATTCACAAACTAATTTTTTAATTACTTATGACATTGTATTGCGGATTATCTAATAAAATAAAAACAAAGTATAAAATTGCCAATATGGTGCAGCTTAGAACAAAATAATAATAAATTATTATTATTTTAATTTCAGACAAAATTTGGATGAATATAAAATTACTCGTCAAATTGCAACTTTGACGGAAAAAAATTCCTCAAAAGCGATTTTCACAGTCCACATTTTTAAATAAAAGAAATGTATTTACAAAAATTTAATAACAGTCGCCTAAGAATTTTCATATAATTCACTGTAAAGTTTTCCAACAAAAAATTCTACAAAATCAATATACTCACGTATATCAAATTTAAGATCAGAAGAAGTCAGACTTGGTGCATCAGTCAATGCACTTGTTGATTGAGAGACGATTTGATTTCGATTTTTGAAATTATGTATTTTCGAAAGCTTCGAAACTGGCTTCCCTTAAAATTATTATCATAAATATGAAGACTTTTAAATAAACTCTTAGAACGAGCAAATTATTTGATGGATTTAATTTGTACCTGTCAATTTTGTTTGAGAAACGTGCTTGTCGACTTCATTAAAAACGCCGATATAAAGAATATCTGCGTTCATTTTGTCGTAAATGAACCAAAGAAATGGATACTTGATATCCATGTCGGTTATAATATCGTTCGAACATGGTTCCTGTCCGCTAATCACGGTTACTGCAAAAGCCTTGACGTCCTCTTGCGTGACCTTGACACGAGCACGATGCACGGCATTGCCGAAGTGCGCGCTTCGATCGTTTTCCGCGACGGTGTTGTCCAAAGGAATCGCGTCGGGCGTCAATAATTGTTCGATGCCTAGTTCTCGCAACAGAACACGCATATCCAGATACTTTTCGATTTCGAAGGTTAGCCGTGTATAGAGAGCTAGTGGTTTAACTTTTCTTGCACGAGACAATAAGTTACGAAGTATATCCATTCCCTCGCTAGTTGACAATCTTTCAATCAACTTGAAAAGATTAGTGCTGCGCATATCCGTTTCAACTTTCTTGTTTCTGCTTGAAGGTACCAACACATACAGCGACGTGAATTCTTCCTTAATGATTAACTCTTTTACATTCACCTGTAATTTAGTACTATAAACTAAAAAAAATATTCTTATATCATTTTACATTTCCTGAAATTCAAAATATTTGCGTAAACAGATATTATGACTTAATTTTAAACAAGAAAACATAAATATATTGCAGTAAAATGCGATAAAAATCATTATTTTGTTGTTAACACATTCAAATACATATGAACAATGTTTATACTAATACTTAATAGTAATACATAATTTCTAATTCCGCCTCTCATCAAAAAATAAGTACCAACAGCATATCTCATCTGATACATTATACACTGCAACAAATTCGTCATAATAGCTGCCGAGCATCGAACATTATATATCCATATTTCTCGTTATATTTAAAAACTTTATAAACACAAATTGCTTTTCGTTTCTGTCAGTGGAAAAATACCGACTCATTTTTAACATTTAATATAGCTTTAATCAACCGTTCGTCGACAATAAGAGATAAAGCGGTGTATTTTATCATATAAATTAAATCGACGAATTATATATTGTTTAAAATTTATATTAATAATTTATTAATATTACTAAAATTTATCAACCTATAAAAAGGTATGTGAGATTGCGTGAAATATGTATATATATATATATATATAAATGCTCACATGTTTTAATCTTCAGATAAGAAGAAGTCGATAGACTTGGTGCATCAGTCGATCCACTTGTTGATTGAGAAACGATTTGATTTCGGCCTTTGAAATTATGTATGCTTGCCAAAAAAATATCCATATCTTCTGTTTTTATTTTTAAGTTTATTGGTTTACGAAAGTGATCCTTTATCAGAGATTGCAGAATTTCATTAAGCTCTCTATTTGTATCCTGGATATTATTGCTGATTATAGATTTCAATCCAATATTGTACAGTTTTTCTTTTGTTTTAATGTCTCCACAAAGTTTTTTGTTTAAAAATATACATTGATTTCGAATTACATAATGGTAAGGCATATAAAAAGTAGAATCCTAGAACATTAAAGGAAATGTTTAAAAGATCCCTATGCATTCTTAAATATAGGATTTATATCATTTTCTTAAAATGTTTGTTTTACATGTTTATTTACATAAACTGAATCTTTATATCATATTTTAGAATTGCATCAATTTACTTCATTCAAATTAGTCTACATAAAAAAGAGTCACAATTTTATATTTCGACATTTTTTATTATAATATTTTTGACTAATATTATTATTGAATAGAGCGTCAAAACTATTTACTTTATAGCGTGCAGGCCGTTGTCCGGGGTATTTATTAGAATTAATAATTTTCAGCAACTCATACTTCGAAACATTCGGTAAATAAAGAATATCTCTTAAACGCTGTTCCATTTCACCACTTGAAATCATATAAGCAGAGTAAAGTCCGTGATATATATTATATGGACTAAAAACAAAATCTTCCTTTGGCTTGATCGACACATATTTATGAAGACTTGTCACCGCGAACTTGAACATCGCCTTTGATATTACTATATCTGGCAAATAAAAAAAAAATATAAAAAAAAATCAAGAGAAATTGATAGAAGGAATACGTTAAAATTAACAATAATGATTAAATTACACATGTTGAAATTAATAAATAAGTTATAACAATTTACACAAAATTTGTAATTAAATAAATGAGAATACAGAGTACGTAACGTCTTCAAATCTTTTCGTCACTTTTTTGCATGTCTATAAACAGAAATTTTTAACATCTAAAAAATTTAACATTAAATTTGTAATACGATAAAATAAAAAGTATGCGTACATAGAATGATAATCAAAAAAGAGTTAGTTTCGAAAGGTAAATGTATTCTTACATATCTTATGTTTACTAATATGTCCATAATTAAACTATACAAATTATATTAATTAACAAACTCGTTGAAAAGTATGTTGATTTTATTTCCAGAAATGAAAATATACACAAAATTCGAAATTGGTCAATAATTATAATTATTGACATTTATAAACATCCGACATTTATTCAAATATAAATTTAATCATCTGCGTAGTGAAAAAGTTGTACCTTAATATTGAACTTATTACGTGTATATTGTGTAATTTTGAAACCATTCGCTAAAATACGTTATTAATACCGACGTATTTAGAAATGTGTAATGTTCGCAATAATACTCAAATAAAAAAAATCGCGAGATTTGCTATATGTATATATGTTAACATTATCATATCAAGGGCACTTTATGAAAATCAACTCGTATCGTAATCAACGGAGTTATAAATTTGCGAGCATTCTCATATCTTTAAATCCCGTTTTAAATTCACAAACTAATTTTTTAATTACTTATGACATTGTATTGCCGATTATCTAATAAAATAAGAAAAAAGTATAAAATTGCCAATATGGTGCAGCTTAGAACAAAGTAATAATAAATTTTTATTATTTTAATTTCAGACAAAATTTGTATGTATATGAAATTACTCGTCAAATTGCAATTTTGACAAGAAAAAATTTCTCAAAAGCGATCTTCACAGTCCACATGTTTAAATAAAATAAATGTATTTACGAAAATTTAATAACAATCGCCTAAGAATTTTCATATAATATTCGCTGTAATGTTTTTCCAACAAAAAATTCTTCAAAATCAATATACTCACCTATATCAAATTTAAGATCAGAAAAAGTCAGATTTGGTGCATTAGTCAATCCACTTGTTGATTGAGAGACGATTTGATTTTGACCTTTGAAATTATGTATTTTTGAAAGCTTCGAAACTGGCATCCCTTAAATTTGTTATCATAAATATAAAGACTTTTAAATAAACTCTTAGAACGAGCAAATCATTTGATGAATTTAATTTGTACCTGTCAATTTCGTTTGAGAAACGTGCTTGTCGAATTCATTAAAAACGCCGACATAAAGAATATCTGCGTTCATTTTGTCGTAAATAAACCAAAGAAATGGATACTTGATATGCATGTCGGTTATAATATCGTTCGAACATGGTTCCTGTCCGCTGATCACGGTTACTGCAGCCGCCTTGACGTCCTCCTGCGTGACCTTGACACGAGCACGATGCACGGCATTGCCGAAGTGCGCGCTTCGATCGTCTTCCACGAAGATGTGGTCTAAAGGAATCGCGTCGGGCGTCAATAATTGCTCGACGCCTAATTCCCGCAACAAAGCACGCATATCTAGATACTTTTCGATTTCGAAAGTCGGCGGAATAACGAAAGACAGTGATTTATCTGTTTCTGCACAAGACAGTAACTTTCGAAGTATATCCATTCCCTCGCTTGTTGACAATCTTTCAATCAAGCTGGAAAGGCCAGTGCTCATATCTGTTTTAATCGTGTTGTTTGTGCTTGTTGAAGAAGGTATCAGCATATACAGCGACGTAAAATGTTTTTTGATGATTAACTCCTTTACGTCCACCTGCAATTCATCACTGAAAACTAAAAAAAACATCCATATGATGATTTACATTTCAAAGAATTAGAAATTATTTGAGTAAACATATAGCATGCCTTAATTATAAAAATGTGTAAATAAAATAAGTGACAATATAACGCGAAAAATAAATTTATTTATTTTTAACATATAATCAAACACTTATATTAACAATATTTATACGATCAAAAATTAATGCATAATTTTTAATTGGACCTTTTATCAAGAAATAAGTAATAAGTTAATGAATTATGCTTTGTTCAAGATTAATTTTTATAATTTACTACATTTTCTAAAATTTACCAACATGTAAAAAGCTATGTAAAATAGTGCAAAAAATATATATGCTTACATGTTTTAAAATTCAGATAAGAAGAAGTCGATTGAGAGACAATTAGATTTCGACCATGGAAATTAAATACGTTTGCCAAAAAAATATTCATATCTTCTGTTTTTACTTTTAAGTTCACCGATTTACGAAAAAAATTCTTTAGCAGAGATTGCAGAGATTCATTGAGCTCTCTATCTGTATTCTGGATATTATTATTTCTTATAGATCGAAATCCTTCATTGTACAGTCGTCTCATTGTTTTGATGTTTCTGCGAAGTTTTTTGTTTAAAAATATACATTGATTTTGAATTACGTAATGGTAAGGCATATAAAAAGTAGAATCCTAGAACATTAAAGGAAATGTTTAAAAGATCCCTATTCATTCTTAAATCTAGGATTTATATCACTTTCTCAAAATGTTTGTTTCACATGTTTATTCACATAAAATCTGAATCTTCATATCATATTTTATAATTGCATTAATTTACTTTATTTAAATTAGTCTACATAGAACAAAATCACAATTTAATATTTCGACATTTTTTATTATAATATAATATTTTTGACTAATATTATTATTAAAATGGGCCTCAAAATTATTTACCTTATAGCGTGCAGATTGTTGTCCGGGGTATTTATCAAAATTAATTATTTTCAGCAACTCATACTTCGAAACATTTGGTAAATAAAGAATATCTCTTAAACGCTGTTCCATATCACCACTTAAAATCATATAAGCAGAGTAAAGTCCGTGATATATATTATATGGACTAAAAACAAAATCTTCCTTTGGCTTGATCGACGCATATTTATGCAGACTTGTCACCGCGAACTTGAACATCGCCTCCGATATTACAGAATCTGGCAAATAAAAAAGAATATACAGAAAGACCAAGTAAAATTGATAAATGGGATATGTTAGAATTAACAATGATAATTAAATTACAAATGTTGAAATTAATAAATAAGGTATAAAAATTTACAAAATTTGTAATTAAATAAATGAACATGCAATGTACGTAACGTCTTCGAATCTATTCGTCATTTTTTTGCATGTCTATAAACATAAATTTTTAACATCTAAAAAATTTAACACTAAACTCGAAATACGATAAAATAAAATGTATGCGTACATAGAATGATAATCGAAAAAAAATTGTTTCGAGGGGTAAGAGTATTCTTACATATCTTATGTTTACTAATATGTCCATAATCAAACTATACAAATTATATTAATTAACAAATTTGTTGAAAAGTATGTTGATTATATTTCCTGAAATTGACATTTATAAACATCCGACATTTATTCAAATATAAATTTAATTATCTACGTAGTAAAAAAATTATACCTTAATATTGAACTTATTACGTGTATATTGTGTAATTTTGAAACGATTTGCTAAAATACGTTATTAATACCGACGTATTTAGAAATGTGAAATGTACGCAATTCTACTCAAATAAAAATAATCTCGAGATTTGCTATATGTATAATTGTTATCATTAACATATCAAGGGCACTTTATGAAAATCAACTCGTATCGTAATCACCAGAGTTATAAATTTGCGAGCATTCTCATATTTTTAAATCCCGTTTTAAATTCACAAACTAATTAATTAATTACTTATGACATTGTATTGCCGATTATCTAACAAAATACGAAAAAAGTATAAAATTGCCAATATGGTGCAGCTTAGAACAAAATAATAATAAATTTTTATTATTTTAATTTCAGACAAAATTTGTATGTATATGAAATTACTCGTCAAATTGCAAATTTGACGGGAAAAAATTCTTCAAAAGCGATTTCACAGTCCACATGTTTAAATAAAATAAATGTAATTACGAAAATTTAATAACAATCGCCTAAGAATTTTCATATAATATTCGCTGTAAAGTTTTTCCAACAAAAAATTCTTCGAAATCAATATACTTACATATATCAAATTTTAGATCAGAAAAAACAGACTTGGTGCATTAGTCAATCCACTTGTTGATTGAGAAACGATTTGATGTCGACCTTTGAAAGTAGCTTCGACCTTTGAAACTGGCTTCCCTTAAATTTGTTATCATAATGATGAAGACTTTAAATAAACTCTTAGAACGAGCAAATCATGTGATGGATTCAATTTGTACCTGTCAATTTTGTTTGAGAAACGTGCTTATTGACTTTATTAAAAACGCCGATATAAAGAATATCTGCGTTCATTTTGTCGTAAATAAACCAAAGAAATGGATAATTGGTATCCACGCCGGTTATAATGTCGTTCGAACAGGGTTTCTGTCCGCTAATCACGGTTACTGCAATCGCCTCGACGTCCTCTTGCGTGACCTTGACACGAGCACGGTGCACGGCATTGCCGAAGTGCACGAATTGATTGTCTTCCGCGAAGGTGTTGTCCAAAAGAATCGCGTCGGACGTCATTAACTGTTCGACGCCTAGTTCTCGCAACAGAACTTGCATATCTAAATTTTTTTCAATTTTAAAGGTCGGCCAAGTAGCGGAAGATAGTGATCCACGTGTTTCTACACAAAACAGCAATTTCCGAAGTATACGCATTCCTTCGCTGGTTGACAATCTTTCAATCAAGCTGGAAAGGTTAGTGCTGCTCGTATCAGTTTTAACTCTCTCGTTTGTGATTGATGAAAAAGGTGTCAATATATACAGCGACGTGAAATGTTCTTTGATGATTAACTCTTTTACGTTTATCTGTAATTCATCACTGGAAACTAAAAGAAACATCCATATATTATTATACATTTTCTAGAATTAGAAATTAATTGCGTAAACATATATTATGACTTAATTATGAAAAAATTAAAATAAAATAAATCGCAATAAAGCACGATAAATTAATTAATTTTATAATATATTCAAACACGTATGAACAACGTTTATACGAGTACTTAAAAATAATACATAATTTTTAATTGCGCTTTTTCATTGATATTCGTATACCAACAATATATCTTATTTGATATATTAAGCTGCGACAAATTCGTCATAATGGCTGCCGAGCACCCAACATTATAAATGTATATTCTCGTCATATTTTAAAAACTTATATAATCATTACGAAAGCTCTTTCTAATGTTTAAAAAAACTTCTGTTTGTGACGGTGGAAAAATGGTGACTCTTTTTTACATTTAATATTGTTTTGTCATCATTTTATTGATAAAATAAATGAAGCAGTGTTTTTTACGAAATAAATTAAATAGACGAATTATGATTGAATTAAATTTAATTTAATTTAAAAAATTTAATTAAAATTTGTGTAAGATTGTGTGAAAAATATATATGCTTACACGTTTTAAAACTTAGATCAGAAGACGTATTCGATAGTAATCGGGCGAAATCGAGACTTATCTCATTACTTGTCGGTTGTGGGTTTAATCGATATTGACCGTGGAAATTATGTACATTCATCAAAATAATGTCCACACTTTCTCTTTTTATTTCTAATTTCAACGGTTTATGATTGTAATCCTTTGTCAGTTTGTTTAAAATTTGATTGATTTTTCTATTTATATCTTGAATATCATTGCTCTCATTAGATGTGAATCCACGATTGTACAGTTTTCTTATTATTTCGATGTTTCTACGAAGTGTTGTGTTTAAAAAAATACATTTATTGTCAATCGCGTACAGTTTAGGCTGATTAGAGGCAGCATCCTAGAACATTAAGAGAAATTTTTAAAAAATTTCTATGCATTCTTTACAAAAAATTTATATCATTTCTTTAAAATGTTTGTTTCGCACGTTCATTCACATAAGAATTAAATTTTCATATATTTTAAAATCGCATCAAGTTACTTTGTTTAAATTAATTTACATAAAAAATAGTGAAAATTAAAATTTCGATAAGCAAGGTCTTTATATTAAAAAATCGTCTATTTTAAGAATGCTCAATGATATATGTGTTTTACCAAAGATTCGAAACCGTATTTCGTTTGGATGTTTTTCTATTATAGCTTTTTCTGCTCAATATATTTTTTGGAGTTGCCAAGTTTATATTTAATTACTATCATTACATGTTATGTAATACAACGCAGACTTAAAATTTAATTTGTTTTATTAATATATCTATTATTTAATATTATTAAAAGGAGCGTCAAAACTATTTACCTCATCCTGTGCGGGCTGTTTTGTAGAGTATTTATGATGTATTGCAGAGTATTTATCAAATTTAATGATTCTCATCAACTCATACTTCGAGACATTCGGTAAATAAAGAATGTTCTTTAAACGCTGTTCAATATCACCACTGGAGATAAGGTAAGCCGAGAAAAGTTCCTGATATATGCTGTACGGACTAAAAACAAAATCTTCCTGTGACTTGATTGTCGCATATTTATGCAGACTTGTCAGGGCGAACTGGAAAATCGCATCCGATATAGCAGAATCTGGCAAATAGATATGAAGAAAAACCAAGAGAAATTAACGAAAGGAATATGTTAGAAATAAAAATTCTGAATAATTTACAAATGTTAAAATTAATATATATGTTATAGAAATTTACGAAATGTGTAATTAAATAAATGAAAATACAGAGCATACAAGGTCTTCAAATTTTTCGACACTTACTTTGCATGTTTATAAGTAGAAATTTTTAACATCTAAATAATTTAATTCTTAATATGAAGGACGAGAAAATAAAAAGTATATGTACATATAATGATAATCGAAAAAAGAAATAGTTTGGTGGAGTAAATGTATTTTTACATATCTAATGTTTACTAACATGTCCATAGCCAAATTTTGCAAAATATATAACAATCTTTTTGAAGAGTATGTTGATTATATTTTCATAAATTAAAATATACACACAATTCAAAATTGGTTAGTAATTAATGATATCTAAGCATTTAACATTTAATCAAAAATAAATTAGATTATCTGCGAAGTAAAAATTGTATCTTAACAATGAACCTATTATACGTAAATTGTGAAACTGCGAAACTATTTGCTAAAATTTAATATTAATACCGACAGATTTCGAAATATATAATGTGCGCAATTCTACTTGTTTCAAAAAATCGCGAAATTTGCAATATAATAATACTCATTGCATCGAAATATAAATTTTAAATTACTCAATAATAATTTTTTAAAAACAACAATATTATCACAAAAAAAGTGTATTAACACTGTATATATTAATTATTTGTTTGTGAAAACGGAAATCAAAATTGTTTTATATTATAAAAGATATTTATTCTTACTAATAAGAGTTTTCTCAACTTTCTGCTCCATTTTAGGCTATACTGTGAAAAAATCCTGGCGAACTTGCTTTGACTTTTGTCTCAATATCATGTAGCCGCAGATTATATATATGGTATATATGGTATATGTATTTATATTATGTCGCGCACGCGTAAATTGTCTTTGGATGTATTTAAGAAATCTAATCGTTTTTGACTATTCAAAATCATTACATGTACATACGAATACAAATAACACACTCACCTGTGGAAATAAATACACATAACTAAAATATTAAACGCAAAAAAACGCACGTGCTTAGTTAGGTTTATTTTTATAATTTTTTATAATTTCTTTGTCGTCTGTATTTATATAAAATATTAAATCATATTACTTGATATAATGTCAAAAATGTAAATTATTTATAATTTTATTAGTATTTGTTATCTTTTACGTCGTAATACAATTATAAATATCTAAAAAAATATATAGCACCTATATATACATATACAGTATATGTTAAATAAGAAAAAAGTCAAAAATTTATTGAATCTGAATAATGTTGAAGCCCAGAAAAAAAGGATATAGATACAATTTAATATAACAGTTGCAACATATTATCGATGATATAAAGTATAATTCTAACATTTACAGCAACGTTATATAATGAAATTAAAATAATAAGTTGAGAGTATCACATATTTAGAAATAATGAAAATACTATTAACATTTTCTCTTATTTTATGATAGCACATTTAATATTTCTGCAATTTTGTATAACACATATTTAAGATATATTCTATAATGTATATTTAATTCCATTGTTGCTTTCACAAAATTTGAAAGAATTAATTCAAAGATTAACATTTATGATAAAATTTGAAAGAAGTAATTCGATGATTTGCATTTCTATTATAATTTTATACATAAATGTATACGCGTATATACGTATATATTCATATAAATATATGTATTAATATTTATATACAAATGTATACATATATTTGAATGTGTTATTTTATCGGTTTCCAAAATTTTAACATAAATTAATCTTAGAATATATCAGGTAGATATAATGCGAATTAACTAAAATTGACATAAAATTTCTTTAAACTTTAAAAACCTTATACATAAATGTATACGCGTATATACGTTTATACATATATCATATAAATATATGCATTAGTATTTACATACATATGTATACATATATTTGATTGTGTTATTTTATCGGTTTAACATAAATTAATCATAGAATATATCGAGCTGATATAATGCAAAGTACCTGAAATCGACAAATAAATTGACTTAAAAATTATAAACTAAAATATGTACATTTTCCATCAACTACATATTTGTTACCAATCACCATTTCAAAAAATATATCCGATTTGTGTACTTCTAAATTTAAGAGAAGCTAAAAAAGATATTATTTGACAATTTTTTTAGTAAAACAGCATAGCGGATCATTGCAAAATTTTTAGCAATTATTAATTATTTACATATATATGTTCTGCAATGAATGGTCTGTAAAGGGCGCTTTATAAAAATCAACTCGTATCTTAATCACCAGTTGTAAATTTGCGAGCATTTTCATATATCTAAATTGGTTTTAAATTAAAACATCAATTTTTTTATTATTTATCATATTGCATTGCTGACTAACAAATAAAATAAGAAAATAGTATAAATTTAACAATATGGTGCAGGTTTAGACTGAAATAATAATAAATTTTTAGTATTTAATTTCAGACAAATTTAGATGTATATGAAATTACTTGTCAATTTGCAATTTCCACGGCAAGAAGATTCCTCATGGGCGATCTTCACAGTCTACATTTTTAAATAAATAAAATGTTTATACGAAAATTTAATAACAATTGCCTAAATATTTCCAAATAATACGCTGTAAAGTTTTTCCAATAAAAAATTCTCAAAAATCATATTTTTTAAAGCTTCAAAACTGGCTTCCCTTAAATTTGTTATCATAATTATGAAGACTTTCCAATAAACTCCTAGAATGAGCAGTTCGTTTGATAAAATTTGTATCTGTCAACCCAATTCAAGAAACGGGCTTGTCAACTTTATTAAAGACGCCGATATAGAGAATATCTGCGTTCATTTTATCGTAAATTAACCAAAGAAATGGATAATTGGTATTCACGTCGGTTATAATGTCGTTCGAACAGGATTCTTGTCCGCTGATCACGGTTACTGCAGACGCCTTGACGTCCTCTTGCGTGACCTTGACACGAGCACGGTGCACGGCATTACCGAAGTGCGCGCTTTGATCGTCTTCCACGAAAATGTGGTCTAAAGGAATCGCGTCGGGCGTCAATAATTGCTCGACGTTTAGTTCCCGCAACAGAGCACGCATATCCAGATACTTTTCGATTTCGAAAATCGGCGGAATATCGAAAGACAGTGATTTATCTGTTTCTGCACAAGACAGTAACTTCTGAAGTATATCCATTCCCTCGCTTGTTGACAATCTTTCAATCAAGCTGGAAAGGCCAGTGCTCATATCTGTTTTAATCGTGTTGTTTGTGCTTGTTGAAGTAGGTTTCAATATATACAGCGACGTAAAATGTTCCTTGATTATTAACTCCTTTACGTCCACCTGCAATTCATCACTGGAAACTAAAAAGAACATCTATATGTTATTTTACATTTCAAAGAATTAGAAATTATTTGAGTAAACATATAACATGCCTTAATTATAAGAAAGTGTAAATAAAATAAGTGGCAATATAACGCGATAAATAAATTAATTTATTTTTAACATATTCAAACACTTATTAACAATATTTATACGACTTAAAATCAATGCATAATTTTTAATTGGGCCTTTTATCAAGAAATAAATAATAAATTGATGAATTACGCTTTGTTTAAGATTAATTTTTATAATTTACTAAATTTTCTAAAATTTACCAACATGTAGAAAGCTATGTAAAATAGTGCAAAAAATATATATGCTCACATGTTTTAAAATTCAGATGAAAAGAAGACGATTGAGAGACGATTAGATTTCGACCATGGAAATGAAATACGTTTGCCAAAAAAATATCCATATCTTCTGTTTTTACTTTTAAGTTCACCAATTTACGAAAAAAATTCTCTAGCAGAGGTTGCAGAGATTCATTGAGCTCTCTATTTGTATCCTGGATATTATTATTGCTTTTAGATCGAAATCCAGCATTGTACAGTAATCTCATTGTTTCGATGTCTCCACGAAGTTTTTTGTTTAAAAATATACATTGATTTTGAATTACGTAATGGTAAGGCATATAAAAGGTAGAAACCTAGAACATTAAAAGAAACGTTTAAAAGATCCCTATTCATTCTTAAATCTAGGATTTATATCACTTTCTTAAAATGTTTGTTTCACATGATATTTACATAAACTGAATCTTCATTCTAAAATTGCATTAATTTACTTCATTCAAATTAGTCTACATAGAAAAGAGTCACAATTTAATATTTCTACATTTTTTATTATAATATTTTTGACTAATATTATTATAGAAATAGGCGTCAAAACTATTTACTTTATAACGTGCAGGCCGTTTTCCGGGGTATTTATTAAAAATAATAATTTTCAGCAACTCATACTTCGAAACATTCGGTAAATAAAGAATATCTCTTAAACGCTGTTCCATTTCACCACTTGAAATCATATAAGCAGAGTAAAGTCCTTGATATATATTATATGGACTAAAAACAAAATCTTCCTTTGGCTTGATCGTCGCATATTTATGCAGACTTGTCAAAGCGAACTGGAAAATCGCTTTTGATATTACAGAATCTGGCAAATAAAAAAGAATATAAAAAAAGACCAAAAGAAATTAATAAAAGGGATATATTATAAGAATCAATGATAAATAAATTACAAATGTTGAAAATAATAAATGAATTATAGCAATTTACAAAATTTGTAATTAAATAAATGAAAATACAGAGTATATAACGTCTTCAAATTTTTTCGCCACTTATTTTGCATGTCTATAAACAGAAATTTTTAACACTTGAAAAATTTAACACTAAATTCGAAGCACAATAATATAAAAAAGTATACGTATATAAAATAATAATCAAAAGAGAAATAGTTTCGCAGGGTAAATGTATTTTTACATATCTTATGTTTACTAACATGTCCATAGTCAAACTTAGCAAATTATACTCGTATAACGAACTCCTTGAAGAGTATGTTAATTATATTTCCAGAAATTAAAATATACACAAATTTCGAAATTGGTCAATAATTATTGATATCTATAAACATCTGACATTTATTCAAATATAAATTTAATCATCTGCGTAGTGAAAATGTTGTACCTTAATATTAAACTTATTACGTGTATATTGTTAAATTCTGAAACGATTCGCTAAAATACATTATTACCGATCGATCTAGAAATGTGTAATGTACGCGATTCTACTTAAATCAGAAAATCGCAAGATTTGCTGTATGTATTATAGTCATCATTGCATCGTATAATATCAAATTACTCAATAATAATTTGTAAAAAATAATAATAATATCACGAAGGAAGTATTAGCACTGTATATATTAATTATTTTTTTGACTTACTAACTAATTCCCCAGTTTCTTGTTCCATTTTAAGCTATACTGTAGCAAAACTGTGGCGAACTTGCTTTGTCTGTTTGTGCTTCAATATCATATGTAGCCACAGCTTTTATATATTTATATTATGTCGCGCACGCGTACTAAAAAGTCTAATTGTTTTTAGCTATTTAGAATTATTACATATACACACGAATACAAACACATTCCTTTGTGTAAATAAGAACACATAATCAAAATATTAAAACATATCTTCCGATTAATTGTCAATAACTTGTACTTTATTTATAATTTATCAGTATTCGTTATCTTATACGTCGTGGTACAATTATAAATATCCAAAAAAGTAAATATATATGGTGAATATCAAATAAGAAAGAAGTCAAAATTTATTGGTTCTGAATAATGTTGTAGCTTACGAAAAAAGGAATATAGATCATATTAATATAACTGATGTAACATATTATCGAAAATATGAAGTATAATTCGAACATCCACAGCAATATTATAATAAAATTAAAATAAATTGAGATAAACACATATTTAAAAATAGTAAAAATATTTGCAACATTTTCTCGAATTTTACGATAGCACATTTAATATTTTTAAAAATGTTGTAAGTCACATATTTAATATTTATTCTATAATATATTTAATGTTAAATTTTGACAGAAAATTAGTTTTTGGCGTTCAAATATTTCTTCCATAAAATTTGAAAGAAATAAATCAATGATTAAAATTTATGATAAAATTTGAAAGAAGTAATTCAATGATTTGTATTTCTGATAAAAATTTTATACATAAATGTATACGTGTATCTACGTATATATTCACATAAATATATGTATTAATATTTATATACAAATGTATACATATATTTGATTGTGTTATTATATCGGTTTCCAAAGTTCTAACATAAATTAATCATAGACTATATTAAGCAGATATAATGCGAATTAACTGAAATCGACAAAAAATTTACTTTAAACTTTAAAAACTTTATACATAGATGTATACGCGTATATACCTAAATACATATATCATATAAATATATGCATTAGTATTTACATACATATGTATACATATATTTGATTGTGTTATGTCATCGATTTAACATAAATTAATCATAGAATATATCGAGCTGATATAATGCAAAGTACCTGAAATCGACAAATAAATTGACTTAAAAATTATAAACTAAAATATGTACATTTTCCATCAACTACATATCGGTTACCAATCACCATTTCAAAAAATATATCCAATTTGTGTACTTCTAAATTTAAGAGAAGCTAAAAAAGATATTATTTGACAATTTTTTTAGTAAAACAGCATAGCGGATTATTGCAAAATTTTAAGCAACTATTAATTATTTACATATATATATAAATGTTCTGCAATGAATGGTCTGTAAAGAGCGCTTTATAAAAATCAACTCGTATCTTAATCACCAGTTGTAAATTTGCGAGCATTTTCATATATCTAAATTGCTTTTAAATTAAAACATCTATTTTTTTATTATTTAATATATTGTATTGTTGATTAACAAATATAATAAAAAAAAAAGTATAAATTTAACAATATGGTGCAGGTTTAGACCGAAATAATAATAAATTTTTAGTATTTAATTTCAGACAAATTTAGATGTATATAAAATTACTTGTCAATTTGCAATTCTCACGGTGAAAAAATTCCTCATGGGCGATCTTCACAGTCTACATGTTTCAATAAATAAAATGTTTATACAAAATTTTAATAACAATTGCCTAAATATTTCCAAATAATACGCTGTAAAGGTTTTCCAATAAAAAATTCTCAAAAATCATATTTTTTAAAGCTTCAAAACTGGCTTCCCTTAAATTTGTTATCATAATTATGAAGACTTTCCAATAAACGTCTAGAATGAACAATTCGTTTGATAAGATTTGTATCTGTCAACCCAATTCAAGAAACGGGCTTGCCAACTTCATTAAAGACGCCGATATAGAGAATATCTGCGTTCATTTTATCATAAATTAACCAAAGAAATGGATAATCGGTATTCACGTCGGTTATAATGTCGTTCGAACAAGGTTCCTGTCCGCTGATCACGGTTACTGCAACCGCCTTGACGTTCTCTTGCGTGACCTTGACACGAGCACGGTGCACGGCATTGCCGAAGTGCACGAATTGATTGTCTTCCGCGAAGGTATTGTCCAAAGGAATCGCGTCGGGCGTCAATAACTGTTCGACGCCTAGTTTTCGCAACAAAACTTGCATATCTAAATTTTTTTCAATTTCAAAGATCAGCCGAGTAGGAACAGATGGTAATTTATCTTTTTGTTCGTTTTTACAAGACAGCAATTTTCGAAGTATACGCATTCCTTCGCTGGTTGACAATCTTTCAATCAAGCTAGAAAGGCCAGTGCTCATATCTGTTTTAACCGTGTTGTTTGTGGTTGTTGAAGAAGGTATCAACATATACAGCGACGTAAAATGTTCCTTGATGATTAACTCCTTTACATCCATCTGCAATTCATCACTGGAAACTAAAAAAAACATCCATATTATTATACATCAATTTTACATTTCAAAGAATTAGAAATTATTTGAGTAAACATATAACGTGCCTTAGTTATAAGAAAGTGTAAATAAAATAAGTGGCAATATAACGCGATAAATAAATTAATTTATTTTTAACATATTCAAACACTTATTAACAATATTTATACGACTTAAAATCAATGCATAATTTTTAATTGGGCCTTTTATCAAGAAATAAATAATAAATTGATGAATTACGCTGTGTTTAAGATTAATTTTCATAATTTACTAAATTTTCTAAAATTTACCAACATGTAAAAGGTTATGTAAGATAGTGCAAAAAATATATATGCTCACATGTTTTAAAATTCAGATAAGAAGTCGATTGAGAGACGATATGATTTCGACCATGGAAATGAAATACGTTTGCCAAAAAAATATCCATATCTTCTGTTTTTACTTTTAAGTTCACCAATTTACGAAGGAAATTCTTTAGCAAAGGTTGCAGAGATTCATTGAACTCTCTATTTGTATCCTGGATATTATTATTTCTTTGAGATTGGAATCCAGCATTGTACAGTCGTTTCATTGTTTTGTTGTCTCCGCGAAGTTTTTTGTTTGAAAATATACATTGATTTTGAATTACATAATGGTAAGGCATATAAAAAGTAGCATTCTAGAACATTAAAAGAAAATGTTTAAAAGATCCCTATTCATTCTTAAATATAGAATTCATATCACTTTCTTAAAATGTTTGTTTCACATGTTTATTTACATAAACTGAATCTTTGTATCATATTATAAAATTGCATCAATTTACTTCATTCAAATTAGGCTACATAGAAAAGAGTCACAATTTAATATTTCGACATTTTTTATTATAATATTTTTGACTAATATTATTATTGAATAGGGCGTCAAAACTATTTACTTTATAGCGTGCAGGCCGTTGTCCGGGGTATTTATTAAAATTAATAATTTTCAGCAACTTATACTTCGAAACATTTGGTAAATAAAGAATATCTCTTAAACGCTGTTCCATTTCACCACTTGAAATCATATAAGCAGAGTAAAGTCCGTGATATATATTATATGGACTAAAAACAAAATCTTCCTTTGGCTTGATCGACGCATATTTATGCAGACTTGTCACCGCGAACTTGAACATCGCCTCCGATATTACAGAATCTGGCAAATAAAAAAGAATATAAAGAAAGATCAAGAAAAATTGATAGAAGGGATATGTTAGAATTAACAATGATGATTAAATTACAAATGTTGAAATTAATAAATAAAGTATAAAAATTTACAAAATTTATAATTAAATAAATAAAAATACAGAGTACGTAACGTCTTCAAATCTATTCGTCACTTTTTTGCATGTCTATAAACAAAAATTTTTAACATCTAAACAATTTAACACTAAATTTGAAATACGATACAATAAAAAGTATGCGTACATAGAATGATAATCGAAAAAGAAATAGCTTTGAGAGATAAATGTATTCTTACATATCTTATGTTTACTAATATGTCCATAATCAAACTATACAAATTATATTAATTAACGAACTCGTTGAAAAGTATGTTGATTATATTTCCAGAAATCAAAATATACACAAAATTCGAAATTGGTCAATAATTATAATTATTGACATTTATAAACATCCGACATTTATTCAAATATACATTTAATCATCTGCGTAGTGAAAAAGTTGTACCTTAATATTGAACTTATTACGTGTATATTGTTTAATTTTGAAACCATTCGCTAAAATACGTTATTAATACCGACGTAATTAGAAATGTGAAATGTACGCGATTCTACTCAAATAAAAATAATCCCGAGATTTGCTATATGTATAATTGTTATCATTAACATATCAAGGGCACTTTATGAAAATCAACTCGTATCGTAATCATCAGACTTATAAATTTGCGAGCATTCTCATATTTTTAAATCCCGTTTTAAATTTACAAACTAATTTCTTAATTACTTATGACATTATATTGCCGATTATCTAACAAAATACGAAAAAAGTATAAAATTGCCAATATGGTGCAGCTTAGAACAAAATAATAATAAATTATTATTATTTTAATTTCAGACAAAATTTGGATGAATATGAAATTACTCGTCAAATTGCAACTTTGACGGGAAAAAATTCCTCAAAAGCGATCTTTACAATCCACATTTTTAAATGAAAAAAAATGTATATACAAAAATTTAATAACAATCGCCTAAGAATTTTCATATAATTCCCTGTAAAGTTTTCCAACAAAAAATTCTCCAAAATCAATATACTCACGTATATCGAATTTCAGATCAGAAGGAGTCAGACTTGGTGCATCAGTCAATGCACTTGTTGATTGAGAGACGATTTGATTTCGATCTTTGAAATTATGTATTTTCGAAAGCTTCGAAACTGGCTTCCCTTAAAATTGTTATCATAAATATGAAAACTTTTAAATAAACTATTAGAACGAGCAAATCATTTCATAGATTCAATTTGTACCTGTCAATTTTGTTTGAGAAACGTGCTTGTCGCCTTTATTAAAAACGCCGATATAAAGAATATCTGCGTACATTTTGTCGTAAATTAACCAAAGAAATGGATAATTGGTATCCATGTCGGTTATAATATCGTTCGAACATGGTTCCTGTCCGCTAATCACGGTTACTGCAATCGCCTCGACGCCTTCCTGCGTGACCTTGACACGAGCACGGTGCACGGCATTGCCGAAGTGCACGAATTGATTGTCTTCCACGAAGGTAATGTCCAAAGGAATCGCGTCGGGCGTCATTAACTGTTCGACGCCTAGTTCTCGCAACAGAACTTGCATATCTAAATTTTTTTCAATTTTAAAGGTCGGCCAAGTAGCGGAAGATAGTGATCCATCTGTTTCTACACAAAACAGCAATTTTCGAAGTATACGCATTCCTTCGCTGGTTGACAATCTTTCAATCAAGCTGGAAAGGCTAGTGCTGCTCGTATCAGTTTTAACTCTCTCGTTTGTGATTGATGAAAAAGGTGTTATTATATACAGCGACGCGAAATGTTCTTTGATGATTAACTCTTTTACGTTTATCTGTAATTCATCACTGGAAACTAAAAAAAACATCCATATATTATTTTACATTTTCAAGAATTAGAAATTAATTGCGTAAACATATATTATGACTTAATTATGAAGAAATTAAAATAAAATAAATGGCAATAAAACGCGATAAATTAATTAATTTATGAATATATTCAAACACTTATGAACAATTTTTATACGAGTACTTAATATTAATACATAATTATTAATTGCGCTTTTTCATTGATGAATGTTTAAAAAAACTTCTGTTTGTGACGGTGGAAAAATGGTGACTCTTTTTTAACATTTAATATCGTTTTGTCATCATTTTATTGGTGAAATAAATAAAGCAGTGTTTTTTACGTAATAAATTAAATAGACGAATTATGATTCGATTAAATTTAATTTAATTTAAAAAATTTAATTAAAATTTGTGTAAGATTGTGTAAAAAATATATATGCTTACACGTTTTAAAACTTAGATCAGAAGACGTATTCGATAATAATCGGTCGGAGTCGAGACTCATCTCATTACTTGTCAGTTGTAAAATTGATCGATATCGACAGTGAAAATTATGTACGTTCATCAAAATAATGTCCACACCTTCTCTTTTTATTTCTAATTCTAACGGTTTATAATCGTAATCCTTTGTCAGTATTTTTAAAATTTGATTGATTTTTCTATTTATATCTTGGATATCATTGCTCTCATTAGATGTGAATCCACGATTGTACAGTTTTCTTATTATTTCGATGTTTTTACGAAGTGTTGTGTTTAAAAAAATACATTTATTGTCAATCGCGTACAGTTGGGGCTGATTAGAGGCAGCATCCTAGAACATTAAGAGAAATTTTTAAAAAACGTCTATGCATTTTTTACTAAAAAATTTATCACTTCTTTAAAATCTTTGTTTCGCACGTTCATTCACATAAGAGTTAAATCTTCATATATTTTAAAATCGCATCAAGTTACTTTGTTTAAATTAATCTACATGAAAAATAATGAATATTAAAATTTCGATAAGCAAGACCTTTATATTAAAAAATCATCTATTTTAAGAATGCTCAATGATATATGTGTTTTACCAAAGAGTCGAAATCGTATTTCGTTTGGACGTTTTTCTATTATAGTTTTTACTGCTTAATATATTTTTTGGAGTTGCCAAGTTTATATTTAATAAATCTCATTACATGTTATGTAATACAACGCAGACTTAAATATTGATTTTTTTTTGTTATTATATCCATTAAATAATGTTATTATTAAAAAGAGTGTCAAAACTATTTACCTGAGAGCATGCAGGCTGTATTGCGGGATATTTACGAAATTTAATGATTCTCATCAACTCATATTTTGAGACATTCGATAAATAAAGAATGTTCTTTAAACGCTGTTCAATATCACCACTAGAGATAAGGTAAACCGAGAAAAGTTCCTGATATATGCTGTACGGACTAAAAACAAAATCTTCCTTTGGCTTGATCGACGCATATTTATGCAGACTTGTCACAGCGAACTTGAACATCGCCTCTGATATATCAGAATCTGGCAAATAAAAAAGAATATAAAAAAAGATTAAGAGAAATTGACAGAAGGGATATGTTAGAATTAACAATGATGATTAAATTACAAATGTTGAAATTAATAAATAAGTTATAACAATTTACAAAATTTGTTATTAAATAAATGAAAATACAGTGTACGTAACGTCTTCAAATCTTTTCGTCACTTTTTTACATGTCTGTAAACAGACATTTTTAACATCTAAAAAATTTAACACTAAATTCGAAATACGATAAAATAAAAAGTATGCGTACATAGAACGATAATCGAAAAAGAAATAGTTTCGAGAGGTAAATGTATTCTTACATATTTTATGTTTACTAATATGTGCATAATCAAACTATACAAATTATATTAATTAACGAACTCGTTGAAAAGTATATTGATTATATTTCCAGAAATTAAAATGTACACAAAATTCGAAATTGGTCAATAATTATAATTATGGACATTTATAAACATCTGACATTTATTTAAATATAAATTTAATCATCTACGTAATATAAAAGTTGTACCTAAATATTGAACTTATTAGGTGTATATTGTATAATTTTGAAACGATTTTCTAAAATACGTTATTAATACCGACGTATTTAGAAATGTGTAATGTACGCGATTCTACTTAAATAAACATAATCCCAAGATTTGCTATATGTATAATTGTTATCATTATCATATCAAGAGCACTTTATGAAAATTAATTCGTATCGTATTTACCGGAGTTATAAATTTGCGAGCATTCTCATATCTTTAAATCCCATTTAAATTCACAAACTAATTTTTTAATTACTTATGACATTGTATTGCGGATTATCTAATAAAATAAAAACAAACTACAAAATTGCCAATATGGTGCAGCTTAGAACAAAATAATAATAAATTTTTATTATTTTAATTTCAGACAAAGTTTGGATGAATAAAAAATTACTCGTCAAATTGCAACTTTGACGGGAAAAAATTCCTCAAAAGCGATCTTCACAGTCCACATTTTTAAATAAAAGAAATGTATTTACAAAAATTTAATAACAGTCGCCTAGGAATTTTCATATAATTCACTGTAAAGTTTTCCAACAAAAAATTCTCCAAAATCAATATACTCACGTATATCAAATTTAAGATCAGAAGAAGTCAGACTTGGTGCATCAGTCAATCCACTTGTTGATTGAGAGACGATTTGATTTCGATTTTTGAAATTATGTATTTTCGAAAGCTTCGAAACTGGCTTCCCTTAAAATTATTATCATAAATATGAAGACTTTTAAATAAACTCTTAGAACGAGCAAATTATTTGATGGATTTAATTTGTACCTGTCAATTTTGTTTGAGAAACGTGCTTGTCGACTTCATTAAAAACGCCGATATAATGAATATCTGCGTACATTTTGTCGTAAATAAACCAAAGAAATGAATAATCGGTATCCACGCTGGTTATAATATCGTTCGAACATGGTTCCTGTCCGCTAATCACGGTTACTGCAAAAGCCTCGACGTCCTCTTGCGTGACCTTGACACGAGCACGGTGCACGGCATTGCCGAAGTGCGCGCTTCGATCGTTTTCCGCGACGGTGTTGTCCAAAGGAATCGCGTCGGGCGTCAATAATTGTTCGATGCCTAGTTCTCGCAACAGAACACGCATATCCAGATACTTTTCGATTTCGAAGATAAGCCGTGTACAGAGAACTAGTGGTTTAATTTTTTTTGGACGAGACAATAAGTTACGAAGTATATCCATTCCCTCCCTAGTTGACAATCTTTCAATCAACTTGAAAAGATTAGTGCTGCGCATATCCGTTTCAACTTTCTTGTTTCTGCTTGAAGGTACCAACACATACAGCGACGTGAATTCTTCCTTAATGATTAACTCTTTTACAGTCACCTGTAATTTGGTACTATAAACTAAAAAAAATATTCTTTTATCACTGTACACTTCCTGGAATTCAAAATATTCGCGTAAACAGATATTATGACTTAATTCTAAAGAAAAAAAATAAATATATTGCAGTAAAATGCGATAAAAATCCTTATTTTGTTGTTAACACATTCAAATACATATGAACAATGTTTATACTAATACTTAATATTAATACATAATTTCTAATTCCGTTTTTATCAAGAAATAAGTACCAACAGTATGTCTCCTCTAATACATTATACACTGCAACAAATTCGTCATAATAGCTGCCGAGCATCGAACATTATATATCTATATCTCTCGTTATATTTAAGTACTTTATAAATACAAATTTTCTTTCGTATCTGTCAGTGGAAAAATACCGACTTATTTTTAACATTTAATATAGCTTTAGTCATCCGTTCGTCGACAATAAGAGATAAAGCGGTGTATTTTATCAAATAAATTAAATCGACGAATTATATATTGTTTAAAATTTATTTTAATAATTTATTAAAGTTACTAAAATTTATCAACCTATAAAAAGGTATGTGAGATTGCGTGAAATATGTATATACATATATATATATATATATATATATATATACATATATATATATATATATATATGCTCACATGTTTTAATCTTCAGATAAGAAGAAGTCGATAAACATGGTGCATCAGTTGATCCACTTGTTGATTGAGAAATGATTTGATTTCGACCTTTAAAATTATGTGTGCTTGCCAAAAAAATATCCATATCTTCTGTTTGTACTTTCAAGTTCACCGGTTTGCGAAAGTGATCCTTTATCAGAGATTGCAGAATTTCATTGAGCTCTCTATTTGTATCCTGGATATTATTGCTGATTATAGATTTTAATCCAATATTGTACAGTTTTTCTTTCGTTTTGATGTCTCCACAAAGTTTTTTGTTTAAAAATATACATTGATTTTGAATTACGTAATGGTGAGGCATATAAAAAGTAGAATCCTAGAACATTAAAGAAAATGTTTAAAAGATTATTATTCATTCTTAAATATAGAATTTATATCATTTTCTTAAAATGTTTGTTTTACATGTTTATTTACATAAACTGAATCTTCATATCATATTTTAAAATTGCATCAATTTACTTCATTCATATTAGTCTACATAGAAAAGAGTCACAATTTAATATTTCGACATTATTTATTATAATATTTTTGACTAATATTATTATTGAAATGGACGTCAAAACTATTTACCTTATAGCGTGCAGACCGGTTCCCGGGATATTTATCAATATTAATAATTTTCAGCAACTCATACTTCGAAACATTTGGTAAATAAAGAATATCTCTTAAACGCTGTTCCATTTCGCCACTTGAAATCATATAAGCAGAGTAAAGTCCGTGGTATATATTATATGGACCAAAAACAAAATCTTCCTTTGGCTTGATCGACGCATATTTATGCAGACTTGTCACCGCGAACTTGAACATCGCCTCTGATATTACAGAATCTGGCAAATAAATAAGAATATAAAGAAAGATCAAGAAAAATTGATAGAAAGGATATGTTAGAATTAACAATGATGATTAAATTACAAATGTTAAAATTAATACATAAGTTATAACAATTTACAAAAATTATAATTAAATAAATGAAAATACATAATACGTAACGTCTTCAAATCTTTTCGTCACTTTTTGCATGTCTATAAACAGAAATTTTTAACATCTAAACAATTTAACACTAAATTTGAAGTACGATAAAATAAAAAGTATGCGTACATAGAATGATAATCAAAAAAGAAATAGTTTCGAGGGGTAAATGTATTCTTACATATCTTATGTTTACTAATATGTCCATAATGAAACTATACAAATTATATTAATTAACGAATTTGTTGAAAAGTATGTTGATTATATTTTCTGAAATTAAAATGTACATAAAATTCGAAATTGGTCAATAATTATAATTATTGACATTTATAGACATCCGACATTTATTCAAATATAAATTGAATCTGCGTAGTAAAAAAGTTGTACCTTAAAATTGAACTTATTACGTGTATATTGTTTATTTTTGAAACGATTCGTTAAAATACGTTGTTAATACCGCCGTATTTAAAAATGTGTAATGTTCGCGATTATACTCAAATTGAAGAAATCGCGAAATTTGCTATATGTATAATTGTTATCATTATCATATCAAGGGCACTTTATGAAAATCAACTCGTATCGTAATCACCAGAGTTATAAATTTGCGAGCATTCTCATATCTTTAAATTTCGTTTTAAATTCACAAACTAATTTTTTAATTACTTATGACATTGTATTGCCGATTATCTAATAAAATAAAAAAAAAGTATAAAATTGCCAATATGGTGCAGCTTAGAACAAAATAATAATAAATTATTATTATTTTAATTTCAGACAAAATTTGGATGCATATGAAATTACTCGTCAAATTGCAACTTCGACGGGAAAAAATTCTTCAAAAAATATTTTCACAATCCACATTTTTAAATAAAAAAATGTATTTACGAATATTTAAAAACAATCGCTTAAGAATTTTTATATAATTCGCTGTAAAGTTTTTCCAACAAAATATTCTCCAAAATCAATATACTCACATATATCAAATTTCAGATCATAAGAAGGAGTCAGACTTGGTGCATCAGTCAATGCACTTGTTGATTGAGAGACGATTTGATTTCGATCTTTGAAATTATGTATTTTCGAAAGCTTCGAAACTGGCTTCCCTTAAAATTGTTATCATAAATATGAAAACTTTTAAATAAACTCTTAGAACGAGCAAATTATTTCATAGATTTAATTTGTACCTGTCAATTTTGTTTGAAAAACGTGCTTGTCGACTTTATTAAAAACGCCGATATAAAGAATATCTGCGTACATTTTGTCGTAAATAAACCAAAGAAATGGATAATCGGTATCCACGCTGGTTATAATATCGTTCGAACATGGTTCCTGTCCGCTAATCACGGTTACTGCAAAAGCCTCGACGTCCTCTTGCGTGACCTTGACACGAGCACGATGCACGGCATTGCCGAAGTGCGCGCTTCGATCGTTTTCCGCGACGGTGTTGTCCAAAGGAATCGCGTCGGGCGTCAATAATTGTTCGATGCCTAGTTCTCGCAACAGAACACGCATATCCAGATACTTTTCGATTTCGAAGATTAGCCGTGTACAGAGAACTAGTGGTTTAATTTTTCTTGGACGAGACAATAAGTTACGAAGTATATCCATTCCCTCCCTAGTTGACAATCTTTCAATCAACTTGAAAAGATTAGTGCTGCACATATCCGTTTCAACCTTCTTGTTTTTGCTTGAAGGTATCAACATATACAGCGACGTAAATTCTTCCTTAATGATTAACTCTTTTACAGTAACCTGTAATTTGGTACTATAAACTAAAAAAAATATTCTTTTATCACTGTACATTTCCTGGAATTCAAAATATTCGCGTAAACAGATATTATGACTTAATTCTAAAGAAAAAAAATAAATATATTGCAGTAAAATGCGATAAAAATCCTTATTTTGTTGTTAACACATTCAAATACTTATGAACAATGTTTATACTAATACTTAATATTAATACATAATTTCTAATTCCGTTTTTATCAAGAAATAAGTACCAACAGTATGTCTCCTCTGATACATTATACACTGCAACAAATTCGTCATAATAGCTGCCGAGCATCGAACATTATATATCTATATCTCTCGTTATATTTAAATACTTTATAAATACAAATTTTTTTTCGTTTCTGTCAGTGGAAAAATACCGACTTATTTTTAACATTTAATATAGCTTTAGTCATCCGTTCGTCGACAATAAGAGATAAAGCGGTGTATTTTATCAAATAAATTAAATCGACGAATTATATTATATTGTTCAAAATTTATTTTAATAATTTATTAAAGTTACTAAAATTTATCAACCTATAAAAAGGTATGTGAGATTGCGTGAAATATGTATATATATATATATATATATATATATATATATATACACACATATATATATATATATATATATGCTCACATGTTTTAAACTTCAGATAAGAAGAAGTCGATAAACTTGGTGCATCAGTCGATCCACTTGTTGATTGAGAAACGATTTGATTTCGACCTTTAAAATTATGTGTGCTTGCCAAAAAAATATCCATATCTTCTGCTTGTACTTTCAAGTTCACCGGTTTGCGAAAGTGATCCTTTATCAGAGATTGCAGAATTTCATTGAGCTCTCTATTTGTATCCTGGATATTATTGCTGATTATAGATTTTAATCCAATATTGTACAGTTTTTCTTTCGTTTTGATGTCTCCACAAAGTTTTTTGTTTAAAAATATACATTGATTTTGAATTACGTAATGGTGAGGCATATAAAAAGTAGAATCCTAGAACATTAAAGAAAATGTTTAAAAGATTATTATTCATTCTTAAATATAGAATTTATATCATTTTCTTAAAATGTTTGTTTTACATGTTTATTTACATAAACTGAATCTTCATATCATATTTTAAAATTGCATCAATTTACTTCATTCAAATTAGTCTACATAGAAAAGAGTCACAATTTAATATTTCGACATTATTTATTATAATATTTTTGACTAATATTATTATTGAAATGGACGTCAAAACTATTTACCTTATAGCGTGCAGACCGGTTCCCGGGATATTTATCAATATTAATAATTTTCAGCAACTCATACTTCGAAACATTTGGTAAATAAAGAATATCTCTTAAACGCTGTTCCATTTCGCCACTTGAAATCATATAAGCAGAGTAAAGTCCGTGGTATATATTATATGGACCAAAAACAAAATCTTCCTTTGGCTTGATCGACGCATATTTATGCAGACTTGTCACCGCGAACTTGAACATCGCCTCTGATATTACAGAATCTGACAAATAAATAAGAATATAAAGAAAGATCAAGAAAAATTGATAGAAAGGATATGTTAGAATTAACAATGATGATTAAATTACAAATGTTAAAATTAATACATAAGTTATAACAATTTACAAAAATTATAATTAAATAAATGAAAATACATAATACGTAACGTCTTCAAATCTTTTCGTCACTTTTTGCATGTCTATAAACAGAAATTTTTAACATCTAAACAATTTAACACTAAATTCGAAGTACGATAAAATAAAAAGTATGCGTACATAGAATGATAATCAAAAAAGAAATAGTTTCGAGGGGTAAATGTATTCTTACATATCTTATGTTTACTAATATGTCCATAATGAAACTATTCAAATTATATTAATTAACGAATTTGTTAAAAAGTATGTTGATTATATTTCCTGAAATTAAAATGTACATAAAATTCGAAATTGGTCAATAATTATAATTATTGACATTTATAGACATCCGACATATATTCAAATATAAATTTAATCTGCGTAGTAAAAAAGTTGTACCTTAAAATTGAACTTATTACGTGTATATTGTTTAATTTTGAAACGATTTGTTAAAATACGTTATTAATACCGCCGTATTTAGAAATGTGTAATGTTCGCGATTCTATTCAAATTAAAGAAATCGCGAAATTTGCTATATGTATAATTGTTATCATTATCATATCAAGAGCACTTTATGAAAATCAACTCGTATCGTAATCACCAGAGTTATAAATTTGCGAGCATTCTCATATCTTTAAATTTCGTTTTAAATTCACAAACTAATTTTTTAATTACTTATGACATTGTATTGCCGATTATCTAATAAAATAAAAAAAAGTATAAAATTGCCAATATGGTGCAGCTTAGAACAAAATAATAATAAATTATTATTATTTTAATTTCAGACAAAATTTGGATGAATATGAAATTACTCGTCAAATTGCAACTTCGACGGGAAAAAATTCTTCAAAAGATATTTTCACAATCCACATTTTTAAATAAAAAAAATGTATTTACAAATATTTAAAAACAATCGCTTAAGAATTTCCATATAATTCGCTGTAAAGTTTTTCCAACAAAATGTTCTCCAAAATCAATATACTCACATATATCAAATTTCAGATCATAAGAAGGAGTCAGACTTGGTGCATCAGTCAATCCACTTGTTGACTGAGAGACGATTTGATTTCGATCTTTAAAATTATGTACTTTTGAAAGCTTCGAAACTGGCTTCTCTTAAAATTGTTGTCATAATTATAAAAACTTTTAAATAAACTCTTAGAACGAGCATATCATTTGATGGATTTAATTTGTACCTGTCAATTTCGTTTGAGAAACGTGCTTATTGACTTTATTAAAAACGCCGATATAAAGAATATCTTCGTTCATTTTGTCGTAAATAAACCAAAGAAATGGATAATCGGTATCCACGCTGGTTATAATATCGTTCGAACATGGTTCCTGTCCGCTAATCACGGTTACTGCAATCGCCTCGACGCCTTCCTGCGTGACCTTGACACGAGCACGGTGCACGGCATTGCCGAAGTGCACGAATTGATCGTCTTCCACGAAGGTGTTGTCCAAAGGAATCGCGTCAGGCGTCAATAACTGTTCGACGCCAAGTTCTCGCAACAGAACTTGCATATCTAAATTTTTTTCAATTTTAAAGGTCGGCCAAGTAGCGGAAGATAGTGATCCACGTGTTTCTACACAAAACAGCAATTTCCGAAGTATACGCATTCCTTCGCTGGTTGACAATCTTTCAATCAAGCTGGAAAGGCTAGTGCTGCTCGTATCAGTTTTAACCCTCTCGTTTGTGATTGATGAAAAAGGTGTCAATATATACAGCGACGCGAAATGTTCTTTGATGATTAACTCTTTTACGTTTATTTGTAATTCATCACTGGAAACTAAAAGAAACATTTATATATTATTTTACATTTTCAAAAAATAGAAATTAATTGCGTAAACATATGTTATGACTTAATTATGAAGAAATTAAAATAAAACAAATGGCAATAAAGCGCGATAAATTAATTAATTTTATAATATATTCAAACATTTATGAACAAATTATATACGAGTACTTAATATTAATACATAATTTTTAATTGCGCTTTTTCATTGATATTCGTATACCAACAATATATCTTATTTGATATATTACGCTGCAACAAATTCGTCATAATGGCTGCCGAGCACCCAACATTATAAATGTATATTCTTGTCATATTTTAAAAACTTATATAATCATTACGAAAGCCATTTTTAATGTTTAAAAAAACTTCTGTTTGTGACGGTGGAAAAATGGTGACTCTTTTTTAACATTTAATATTGTTTTGTCATCATTTTATTGATGAAATAAATAAAGCAGTGTTTTTTACGTAATAAATTAAATAGACGAATTATGATTCGATTAAATTCAATTTAATTTAAAAAATTTAATTAAAATTTGTGTAAGATTGTGTGAAAAATATATATGCTTACACGTTTTAAAACTTAGATCAGAAGACGTATTCGATAGTAATCGGGCGAAATCGAGACTAATCTCATTACTTGTCGGTTGTGGGTTTAATCGATATTGACCGTGGAAATTATGTACGTTCATCAAAATAATGTCCACACTTTCTCTTTTTATTTCTAATTTCAACGGTTTATGATTGTAATCCTTTGTCAGTTTGTTTAAAATTTGATTGATTTTTCTATTTATATCTTGGATATCATTGCTCTCATTAGATGTGAATCCACGATTGTACAGTTTTTTTATTATTTCGATGTTTTTACGAAGTGTTGTGTTTAAAAAAATACATTTATTGTCAATCGCGTACAGTTGGGGCTGATTAGAGGCAGTTTCCTAGAACATTAAGAGAAATTTTTAAAAAATCTCTATGCATTCTTTACTAAAAAAATTATATCATTTCTTTAAAATGTTTGTTTTGTACGTTCATTCACATAAGAGTTAAATCTTCATATATTTTAAAATCGCATCAAGTTACTTTGTTTAAATTTATCTACATGAAAAATAGTGAAAATTAAAATTTTGATAAGCAAGGTCTTTTTATTAAAAAATCGTCTATTTTAAGAATACTCAATGATATATGCGTTTTACCAAAGATTCGAAACCGTATTTCGTTTGGATGTTTTTCTATTATAGCTTTTACTCCTCAATATATTTTTTGGAGTTGCCAAGTTTATATTCAATTACTATCATTACATGTTATGTAATACAACGCAGACTTAGAATTTAATTTGTTTTATTAATATATCCATTATTTAATATTATTAAAAAGAGCGTCAAAACTATTTACCTCATCCTGTGCGGGCTGTTTTGTAGAGTATTTATGATGTATTGCAGAGTATTTATCAAATTTAATGATTCTCATCAACTCATACTTCGAGACATTCGGTAAATAAAGAATGTTCTTTAAACGCTGTTCAATATCACCACTGGAGATAAGGTAAGCCGAGAAAAGTTCCTGATATATGCTGTACGGACTAAAAACAAAATCTTCCTGTGACTTGATTGTCGCATATTTATGCAGACTTGTCAGGGCGAACTGGAAAATCGCATTCGATATAGCAGAACCTGGCAAATAGATATGAAGAAAAACCAAGAGAAATTAACGAAAGAGATATGTTAGAAATAAAAATTCTGAATAATTTACAAATGTTAAAATTAATATATATGTTTTAGAAATTTACAAAATGTGTAATTAAATAAATGAAAATACAGAGCATACAAGGTCTTCAAATTTTTCGACACTTACTTTGCATGTTTATAAGTAGAAATTTTTAACATCTAAATAATTTAATTCTTAATATGAAGGACGAGAAAATAAAAAGTATATGTACATATAATGATAATCGAAAAAGAAATAGTTTCGTGGAGTAAATGTATTTTTACATATCTAATGTTTACTAACATGTCCATAGCCAAATTTTGCAAAATATGTAACAATCTTTTTGAAGAGTATGTTGATTATATTTTCATAAATTAAAATATACACACAATTCGAAATTGGTCAGTAATTAATGATATCTAAGAATTTAACATTTAATCAAAAATAAATCAGATTATCTGCGAAGTAAAAATTGTATCTTAACAATGAACTTATTATACGTATATTGTGAAACTGCGAAACTATTTGCTAAAATTTAATATTAATACCGACAGATTTCGAAATATATAATGTGCGCAATTCTACTTGTTTCAAAAAATCGCGAAATTTGCAATATAATAATAATCATTGCATCGAAATATAAATAAATTACTCAATAATAATTTTTTAAAAACAACTATATTATCACGAAAGAAGTGTATTAACACTGTATATATTAATTATTTGTTTGTGAAAACGGAAATCAAAATTGTTTTATATTATAAAAGATATTTATTCTTACTAATAAGAGTTTTCTCAACTTTCTGCTCCATTTTAGGCTATACTGTGAGAAAATCGTGGCGAACTTGCTTTGACTTCTGTCTCAATATCATGTAGCCGCAGATTATATATATATATATATACATGTATTTATATTATGTCGCGCACGCGTAAATTGTCTTTGGATGTATTTAAGAAATCTAATCGTTTTTGACTATTCAAAATCATTACATGTACATACGAATACAAATAATACTCTCACCTGTGGAAATAAATACACATAACTAAAATATTAAACGCAAAAAAAACACACGTGCTTAGTTAGGTTTGTTTTTATAATTTTTTATAATTTCTTTGTCGCGTCTGTATTTATATAAAATATTAAATCATATTACTTGATATAATGTCAAAAATGTAAATTATTTATAATTTTATTAGTATTTGTTATCTCTTATGTCGTAATACAAAATTATAAATATCTAAAAAAATATATAGCACCTATATATACATATATAGTATATGTTAAATAAGAAAGAAGTCAAAAATTTATTGAATCTGAATAATGTTGCAGCCCAGAATAAAAGGATATAGATAGAATTTAATAAAACAGTTGCAACATATTATCGATTAAAATAAAGTATAATTCTAACATTTACAGCAACGTTATATAATGAATTTAAAATAATAAGTTGAGAGTGTCACATAATTATAAATAATGAAAATACTATTAACATTTTTTTTTTATTTTATGATAGCACATTTAATATTATTGCAATTTGTATAACACATATTTAAGATATATTCTATAATGTATATTTAATTACATTGTTGCTTTCACAAAATTAAAAAAAAATAATTCAATGATTAACATTTATGATAAAATTTGAAAGAAGTAATTCAATGATTTGCATTTCTATTTAAAATTTTATACATAAATGTATACGCGTATATACGTATATATTGACATAAATATATGTATTAATATTTATATACATATGTATGTATACATATATTTGAATGTGTTATTTTATCGGTTTCCAAAATTTTAACATAAATAAATCTTAAAATATATTAGGTAGATATAATGCAAATTAATTAAAATTGACAAAAAATTAACTCTCTCTTAAAGATTATAAAATAAAACTAAAATAATTACATTTTCCACCAACTATATATCTGTTTCCAATACCCATTTTAAAAAGTATACCTGATTTGTGTACCTACTTCAGAATTTAAAAGAAGCTACCATATAAACTAAAAATGATATCAATTGACAATTTTATTTACACAATTTTACGTGTTTATATGACAATTATAAGCGTTTATATGACACATAACTTGTTGAACATATAATTCTGAATCATCAAATTTAACATTATCAGTTTTCTATTGTCAAAGATTGTTGCAAAACATTTGAAGTAAAATTTGTGTTTAATATTGTTTCATTTATAATGCTGCATTAAATGAAGATATAAATCAAGAAATTTTTTTTATTAATCCGGATGAATTTATATTGACGGAATTGGGAGAAATGTAGTTTATATATTCCTAAAAGATTTTCAACATTTTTTTATGTATAATAATAAAGTATAATAATAAAGTCATGTATAATAATAAAGTCAGTAATATCTAATAATAAAGTCAATTATTATTAAACGGTTGTTCTGCTAACATGTGAATCTCGAATAATCAAGGAACTTCGCAATTCCCTGAGTAGATATTAATAACTCTTTTATTTAATTACTTTGATCTAGTAATGATTGGTTTATTGATGTAAGATTTAAATATATAGAGGTTAAAGAAGCACAAGTATGTGCAGAGACGTACCACATATTTCTAATCATAAATTTTAATTTATTTGGTTTCCATCCATACATAGTATCTCGTATTAGCCTTTCAATTATTAGTTATGTTTTAACTTAACAAGCCTGACTTTTATACTCATATTTTAATATTTTAATTTTAAACAAAATTTATATTTATATAAAATTACTCGTCAATTTGCAATTATGACGGCGAAAAAATTCTTCAAAATCAAACTTTGCAGTCCCCATTTTTAAATACATATCCGTTTTAATCCTTTTCTTTGTGCTTGATGAAAAAGGTATCAACATATACAGCGATTATGATATGTTCCTTAATGATTATCTCCTCTACTTTCACATGTAATTTATTAAAGGAAATTGAGAAAAAACATTCTTATATCATTTTACATTTCCAAGAATTTAAAATATTTGCATAAACATATATTATGACTTAATTCTAAGCAAGTAAAAATAAATATGTGGCCGTAAAATGAGATAAAAATCATTATTTTGTTCTTAACACATTCACATACTTATGAACAATTTTGATACTAATACTTATTATCAATACATAATTTTTGATTCCGCCTCTTATCAAGAAATAAGTATCAACAGTATATTATTGTAACAAATTCGTCATAATAGCTGCCGAGCATTGAGCATAATATATGTATATCTCGTTATATTTTAAAAACTTTATAAATACAAAGACTTTTTGTTTCTGGCAGTGGAAAAATGCCGACTTATTATTAACATTTAATATAACTTTAGTCATCTCTTCGTCGACAACAAGGAATAAAACAATGTTCATTATGATTATTTTACCAAATAAATTAAGCCGACGAATTACGATTTGTTTAAAATTTTTTTAATAATTTATTAAATTTACTAAAATTTAAGTACCTATAAAAAGATATATAAGATTGTGTGAAAAATATATACATGCTTACATGTTTTAATATTCAGATAAGAAGGAGTCGATAGACTTGTTGCATCAATCGATCCATTTGATGATTGAGAAACGATTTGATTTCGACCTTTTAAATTATATACGTTTGCCAAAAAAATATCCATATCTTCCGTTTTTATTTTTAAGTTCACCGGTTTGCAAAAGTGATTTTTTATCAGAGATTGCAGAATTTCATTGAGCCCTCTATTTGTATCCTGGATATTATTGCTGATTATAGATTCAAATCCAACATTGTACAGTTTTTTTATCGTTTCGATATTTTCGCGAAGTCTTTTGTTTAAAAATATACATCTATTTAGAATTACGCGATAATAAGGCACACAAAAGGTAAAACCCTAGAACATTAAAAAAAATATTTAAATATCTTTATATTCATTTTTAAATATAAGATTACTATCACTTTCTTATAATGTTTGTTTTATATGTTTATTCACATATACTAAATCTTCATACCATATTTTAAACTTGCCACAATTTCCTTCATTTAAATTAATCTACATAGAAAAGAGTCACAATTTAATATTTTGATAAGCAAGGTTTTTTGATTTTATTAAAAAATTATTTTGTTAAAAGTTTGCTTAATAATATATATAAAATTTACCAAAGATTCGAAGTCTCATTTCATTTACACAAATATATTTTTTTCTATTATAGCTTTTACTGCTTAATATACATATTTTCAGAGCTGTAAAGTTTATTTGATACATATCTTTGAATATTATTTTATACAACAAAGATTTGAATTTTGACATTTATTTATTATAATATTCATGACTAATATTATTATTGAAAAGGGCGTCAAAACTATTTTTCATATAGTTTTCAGGCCGTTTCGCTGGGTTAATAAAATTAATGATATTCGTCAAATCATATTGATTAAAATTAATGATATTTATTAACTCATTTTTCGAGACATCCGCCGATAAATAAAGAATTTTTTTTAAACGCTGTTCGATTTTACGACTGGAAATCAGGTAAGAAGAGTAAAATCCGTGGTATATGTTATATGGACTAAAAACAATATATTCCTTCGGCTTGATCGTCGCATATTTATGCAGACTTGTCACCGCAAACTTGAAACGCGCCTCCGACACTGCGTTTTTGGCAAATAGAAAAAAAAGAATATAAAGTAAAACTACGCCAAATTAAGAATTGGAATATATTATAATTAAAAATGATGAATAAATTACAAATGTTAAAATTAATTAATGAATTAAAACAATTAACAATGTTTGTAATTAAATAAATGTAAATGCAGAGTATAATGCCTTCAAATATTTTCGACACTTATTTTGCACGTCTATAAGAATAATTTTGACGATATCTAAGAAATTTAATTATTAACACGAGATACCTAAAAAATAAATATACGTATAAAAATAATTGAAAAAATAATAGTTTCGTAAATGTATTCTTACATTTTTAATGTTTACTAACATATGTACACAGTCAAACTTTACTAAGTGTAACGAACTTCTCGAACAGTATGTTGATTATATTTTCAGCAATTAAAAAAAACGAAAAATTCGAAATTGTAGTTGTTATTCGTAAAATTTAATAGAAATATTTAATATATAACAACTTGGAAGAAATTATATTTTGCAATAATTTTAATATGTCTAAAATGATAGTATTTATTCAAATATACCTTCAGTCGTCAACCAAGTGAAAGTTATATCTTAATGATGAACTTATTTGTATCTATATTGCGTAACTATTCGTTAAAATACATTCTTAATACCGATAGACTCCGAAAATTATAATGTACGCAACTATATTTGAATCTAATTAATCGCGAAACTTGCTATATACAAGAGTCACTATACATCGAAATATACTAAATTACCATAGAATAATATTTTTAAAATATATAATAATAACATGAAAAAAATATTACCATATTTGTGTATATCTTTATTACCTGTTCGTTAAATCGGATTAAATTATAATTAAACTCACCAATTTTCTTCCTTAGATTTTTCTGCTCCATTTTAGGCTATACAGTAACAAAACCTTGTCAAACTTGCTTCGGTTGCTTGTGTTTCGATATCATGTAAACGCTGCTTTTATATATTTATATTATTTGACGCACGCGTAAATTATCATTAAATTTATGCGCGAAAAATCAAATCGATTTTAACAAACCAGAATTATAACAAAACACACTCATTCTTAGATAGGTATACACACAAACGGACATTAAAACATATCATTTAATATTAATGCCAAATTTTGCAATTTATTTAAAATTATAGTATATAAGTATTCGTTATCTCACACGTCGTGATACAATTGTAAATATCCAAATAAATAAATAGCACCTATAGACATATATATATATATATATATATATATATATACATATATATATATATATATATGTATATATATGGTGTATGTCAAATAAGAAAGAAGTCGAAATTTATTGGTTCTGAATAATGTTGTAGCTTCAAAATAAGAAAAGAATATAGATCAATTTAAAATAAGAGATGTTACATATTATCGAAAATATGAAGTATAATTCCAACATCTACAACAATATTATAATAAAAGTAAGATAAATTAAAAATATCACATGTTTAAAAGTGATAAAAATACTGGCAACATTTTTTCTAACTTTACGCACATTTAATGATAGCACTTTTAATATTTTTACAAATTTTGTAAGCTACATATTTGATATATATTTTATAATATATTTAATGTTAAATTTTGACAAAGAATTATTTTTTGGCGTTCAAATGTTTCTTATACAAAATTTGAAAGAAATACTTCAATGATTAACATTTATGATAACATTTGAAAGAAGTAATTCAATGATTTGTATTTCTGATAAAAATTTTATACATAAATGTATACACGCGTATATACGTACATGTTCACAAATATATATGTATTATACACATATTAGTATTTATATACATATGTATACATATATTTGATTGTGTTATTTTATCGGTTTTCAAAGTTCTAACATAAATTAATGTTAGAATATATCAAGTAAATATAATGCGAATTAACTAAAATTAACAAAAAATTTACTTTAAACTTTAAAAACTTTAACATAAATGTATACGCGTATATACGTTTATACATATATCATATAAATATATGCATTAGTATTTACATACATATGTATACATATATATGATTGTGTTATTTTATCAGTTTAACATAAATTAATCATAGAATATATCGAGCTGATATAATGCAAAGTACCTGAAATCGACAAATAAATCGACTTAAAAATTATAAACTAAGATATGTACATTTTCCATCAACTACATATCTGTTACCAATCACCATTTCAAAAAATATATCCGATTTGTGTACTTCTAAATTTAAGAAAAGCTAAAAAAGATATTATTTGACAATTTTTTTAGTAAAACAGCATAGCGGATATTTGCAAAATTTCAAGCAATTATTAATTATTTACATATATATATATATAAATGTTCTGCAATGAATGGTCTGTAAAGAGCGCTTTATAAAAATCAACTCGTATCTTAATCACCAGTTGTAAATTTGCGAGCATTTTCATATATCTAAATTGGTTTTAAATTAAAACATCTATTTTTTTATTATTTAATATATTGTATTGCTGATTAATAAATAAAATAAAAAAAAAGTTTAAATTTAACAATATGGTGCAGATTTAGACTGAAATAATAATAAATTTTTAGTATTTAATTTCAGACAAATTTAGATGTATATGAAATTACTTGTCAATTTGCAATTCCCACGGCAAAAAGATTCCTCATGGGCGATCTTCACAGTCTACATTTTTAAATAAATAAAATGTTTATACGAAAATTTAATAACAATTGCCTAAATATTTCCAAATAATACGCTGTAAAGTTTTTCCAATAAAAAATTCTCGAAAATCATATTTTTTAAAGCTTCAAAACTGGCTTCCCTTAAATTTGTTATCATAATTATGAAAACTTTTCAATAAACTCCTAGAATGACCAGTTCGTTTGATAGGATTTGTATCTGTCAACCCAATTCAAGAAACGGGCTTGTTAACTTCATTAAAGACGCCGATATAGAGAATATCTGCTTTCATTTTATCGTAAATTAACCAAAGAAATGGATAATCGGTATTTACGTCGGTTATAATGTCGTTCGAACAGGGTTCCTGTCCGCTGATTACGGTTACTGCAGCCGCCTTGACGTCCTCCTGCGTGACCTTGACACGAGCACGGTGCACGGCATTGCCGAAGTGCGCGCTTTGATCGTCTTCCACAAAGATGTGGTCCAAAGGAATCGCGTCGGACGTCAATAATTGCTCGACGCCTAGTTCCCTCAACAGAGCACGCATATCCAGATACTTTTCGATTTCGAAGGTCGGCGGAATAACGATAGACAGTGATTTATCTCTTTCTGCACAAGACAGTAACTTTTGAAGTATATCCATTCCCTCGCTTGTTGACAATCTTTCAATCAAGCTGGAAAGGCCAATGCTCATATCTGTTTTGACCGTTTTGTTAGTGCTTGTTGAAGAAGGTGTCAACATATACAGCGACGCGAAATGTTCTTTGATAATTAACTCTTTTACGTCCACCTGCAATTCATCACTGGAAACTAAAAAGAACATCCATATGTTATTTTACATTTCAAAGAATTAGAAATTATTTGCGTAAACATATATCATGCCTTAATTATAAAGAAGTGTAAATAAAATAAGTGGCAATATAACGCGATAAATAAATTTATTTATTTTAACATATTAAAACACTTATTAACAATATTTATACGACTTAAAATTAATGCATAATTTTCTATTTGGCCTTTTATCGAAAAATAAGTAATAAGTTGATGAATTATGCTTTGTATAAGATTAATTTTCATAATTTACTAAATTTTCTAAAATTTACCAACATATAAAAAGCTATGTAAGATAGTGCAAATAATATATATGCTCACATGTTTTAAAATTCATATAAGGAGTCGATTGAGAGACGATTAGATTTCGATAATTAAAATTAAATACATTTGCCAAAAAAATATCCATATCTTCTGTTTTTACTTTTAAGTTCACCAGTTTACGAAAGTAATTCTTTAGCAGAAGTTGCAGAGTTACATTGAGCTCTCTATTTGTATTCTGGATATTCTTATTGCTTATAAATCTGAATCTATTGTACAGTTGTCTCATTGTTTTGATGTTGTCACGAAGTTTTTTGTTTAAAAATATACATTGATTTTGAATTACATAATGATAAGGCATATAAGAGATAGCATCCTAGAACATTAAAGAAAATGTTTAGGAGACCCGTATTTATTCTTAAATATAAAATTTGTATCACTTTCTTAAAATGTTTGTTTCACATGTTTATTTACATAAACTGAATCTTCATATCATATTTTAGAATTGCATCAATTTACTTCATTCAAATTAGTCTACATAAAAAAGAGTCACAATTTTATATTTCGACATTTTTTATTATAATATTTTTGACTAATATTATTATTGAATAGGGCGTCAAAACTATTTACCTTATAGCGTGCAGGCCGGTTTGCGGGGTATTTATCAAAATTAATAATTTTCAGCAACTCATACTTCGAAACATTCGGTAAATAAAGAATATCTCTTAAACGCTGTTCCATTTCACCACTTGAAATCATATAAGCAGAGTAAAGTCCGTGATATATATTATATGGACTAAAAACAAAATCTTCCTTTGGCTTGATCGACGCATATTTATGCAAACTTGTTACCGCAAACTTGAACATCGCCTTTGATATTACATAATCTGGCAAATAAAAAAGAATATATAGAAAGACCAAGAGAAATTGATAGAAGGGATATGTTAGAATTAACAATGATGATTAAATTACAAATGTTGAAATTAATAAATAAGGTATAAAAATTTACAAAATTTATAATTAAATAAATAAAAATACAGAGTACGTAACGTCTTCAAATCTATTCGTCACTTTTTTGCATGTCTATAAACAGAAATTTTTAATATCTAAAAAATTTAACGCTAAATTCGAAATACGATAAAATAAAAAGTATGCGTACATAGAATGATAATCGAAAAAGAAATAGTTTCGAAAAGTAAATGTATTCTTACATATCTTATGTTTACTAATATGTCCATAATCAAACTATACAAATTATATTAATTAACGAACTCGTTGAAAAGTATGTTGATTATATTTTTAGAAATTAAAATGTACACAAAATTCGGAATTGGTCAATAATTATAATTATTGACATTTATAAACATCCGACATTTATTTAAATATAAATTTAATCATCTGCGTAGTATAAAAGTTGTACCTAAATATTGAACTTATTAAATGTATATTGTTTAATTTTGAAACGATTTGCTAAAATACGTTATTAATACCAACGTATTTAGAAATGTGTAATGTACGCGATTCTACTTAAATAAACATAATCCCGAGATTTGCTATATGTATAATTGTTATCATTATCATATCAAGGGCACTTTATGAAAATCAACTCGTATCGTAATCACCAAAGTTATAAATTTGCGAGCATTCTCATTACTTTAAATCGCGTTTTAAATTCACAAACTAATTTTTTAATTACTTATGACATTGTATTGCCAATTACCTAATAAAATAAGAAAAAAGTATAAAATTGCCAATATGGTGCAGCTTAGAACAAAATAATAATAAATTTTTATTATTTTAATTTCAGACAAAATTTGGATGTATATGAAATCACTCGTCAAATTGCAACTTCGACGGGAAAAAATTTCTCAAAAGCGATCTTCACAGTCTACATTTTTAAATAAAAAAAATGTATTTACAAAAATTTAATAACAATCGCCCAAGAATTTCCATATAATTTGCTGTAAAGTTTTCCAACAAAAGATTCTCCAAAATCAATCATATTTTTGAGAGCTTCGAAACTGGCTTCCCTTAAATTTGTTATCATAAATATGAAGACTTTTAAATAAATTCTTAAAACGAGCAACTCGTTTGATGAGTCTGATTTGTACCTGTCAATTGTCTTTCAGATACGGACATGTGGACTTCATTAAAAACGCCGATATAAAGAATATCTGCGTTCATTTTGTCGTAAATAAACCAAAGAAATGGATTCTTGAAATCCATGTCGGTTATAATATCGTTCGAACAAAGTTTCTGTCCGCTAATCACGGTTACTGCAGCTGCCTTGACGTCCTTCTGCGTGACCTTGACACGAGCACGATGCACGGCATTGCCGAAGTGCGCGCTTTGATCGATTTTCACGAAGGTGTTGTCCAAAGGAATCGCCTCGGGCGTCAATAATCGTTCGACGCCTAATTTTCGCAACAGAGGGCGCATATTCAAATTATTTTCGATTTCGAAGGTTGATCGAGTAGCGAAAGACAGTGGTTCAAGTGTTCTTACACGAGACAATAATTCCCGTAGTATATCCATTCCCTCGCTAGTTGACAATTTTTTAATCAAGCTAGAAAGGTTAGTGCTGCTCGTATTAGTTTTAACTTTCTTGTTTGTGCTTGATGAAAAAGGTATCAACATGTACAGCGACGTGAAATGTTCTTTGATGATTAATTCCTTTACGTCCACCTGCAATTCATCACTGGAAACTAAAAAGAACATCCATATGTTATTTTACATTATAAAGAATTAGAAATTATTTGCGTAAATATATATTATGACTTAATTATAAAGAAGTGTAAATAAAATAAATGGCAATAAAACGCGATAAATAAATTAATTTATTCTTAACATATTCAAACACTTATTATAACAATTTTTATACGACTTAAAATCAATACATAATTTTTCATTGGGCCTTTTATCAAGAAATAAGTACCAACAGTATGTCTTATTTGATACATTACACTGCAACGAATTCGTCATAATAGCTGCCGATCATCGAACATTATATATCTATATCTCTCGTTATATTTAAAAACTATATAAATACAAAGGCCATTTGTTTTTGTCAATGGAAAAATACCGACTTATTTTTAACATTTAATATAGTTTTAGTCATCCGTTTGTCGACAAAAGAGATAAAGCGGTGTATTTTATCATATAAATTAAATCGACGAATTATATATTGTTCACAATTTATTTTAATAATTTATTAAATTTTTTAAAATTTTTCAACCTATAAAAAGATATGTAAGATTGTGTGAAATAAATATATATATATATAGGTATATATATATGCTCACATGTTTTAATCTTCAGATAAGAAGGAGTCGATAGACTTGGTGCATCAGTCGATCCACTTGTTGATTGAGAAACGATTTGATTTCGACCTTTAAAATTATGTATGCTTGCCAAAAAAATATCCATATCTTCTGTTTGTACTTTCAAGTTCACCGGTTTGCGAAAGTGATCTTTTATCAAAGATTGCAAAATTTCATTGAGCTCTCTATTTGTATCGTGGATATTATTGCTGATTATAGATTTTATTTCAATATTGTACAGTTCTTCTTTCGTTTTGATGTCTCCAGGAAGTTTTTTGTTTAAAAATATACATTGATTTTTAATTACGTAATGATAAGGCATATAAAAGGTAGAATCCTAGAACATTAAAGAAAATGTTTAAAAGATCTTTATTCATTCTTAAATATAGGATTTATATCAGTTTTTTAAAATGTTTGTTTCACATGTTTATGCAGACAGAATCATTATACCATATTTTAAAATTGCATCAATTTACTTTATTTAAATTAGTCTATATAAAAAAGAATCAAAATTTAATATTTTGATAAGCAAGATCTTTGGATTTTATTAAAAAAACATTTATTAAAAGTTTGCTCAATGATGTATATAAAAGATAGGGACTGTATCGTTGTAAAATACCAAATATAATACTTAGCTATTTGCTAAGACGAGGAACAATCACTAAATTAAGATTTAAATCCCTCTTCCCTTTACTCCTCTAAAATTGATGTAGACGAGAGAAAATGTATATAAAATAATACGTATATAAAATTTACCAAAGATTCGAAATCTCATTTCGTTTACACATTTATATTTTTTTTTATTATAGCTTTTACTGCTTAATATACATATTATTTAGAGCTGTAAAGTTTATATTTGATACATATCTTTAAGTGTCTTTTTATACAATATAAATTTGAATTTTGACATTTATTTATTATAATATTCTTGACTAATATTACTATTGAAAAGGGCGTCAAAACTATTTACCATATAGTTTTCAGGCCGTTTCGCCGGGTTATTAAAATTAATGATATTCATTAACTCATTTTTCGAGACATCCGCCGGTAAATAAAGAATTTCTTTTAAACGCTGTTCCATTTCACCACTGGAAATCAGGTAAGCAGAGTAAAGTCCGTGATATATGTTATATGGACTAAAAACAATATATTTCTTCGGCTTGATCGTCGCATATTTATGCAGACTTGTCAACGCAAACTTGAAACGCGCCTCTGACACTGAGTTTTTGGCAAATGAAAGAAAGGAATATAAAGTAAGATCACGCAAAATTAAAAAATCGAATATATTAGAATTAAAAATGATGAATAAATTACAAATATTGAAATTAATTAATAAGTTACAATGTTTGTAATTAAATAAATGTAAATGCAGAGTATAATATCTTCAAATATTTACAACATTGATTTTGCATGTCGATAAAATAAATTTTGACGATATATAAGAAATTTAATTATAAATTTTAGATACGATAAAAATAAATATACGTATAAGAATAATTGAAAAAATAATAGTTTCGTAAATGTATTCTTACATATCTAATGTTTACTAACATATGTACACAGTCAAACTTTGCTAAATATGTAAGGAACTTCTCGAACAGTATGTTGATTATATTTCCAGCTATTAAAATAAACGCAAAATTTGCAATCGGTCAGTTATTCATGAAATTTAATAGAAAAATTTAATATTTAACAATTTGGAAGAAATTATATTTTGCAATAATTTTAATATGTCTAAAATGATAGTATTTATTCAACTATACTTTCAGTCGTCAACCAAGTGAAAGTTATATCTTAATGATGAACTTATTTGTATCTATATCGCGTAACTATTCGCTAAAATACATTTTTAATACCGATAAACTTCGAAAATTATAATGTACGCAACTATATTTGAATCTAATTAATCGCGAAACTTGCTATATACAAGAATCACTATACATCGAAATATACTAAATTACCATAGAATAATATTTTTAAAATATATAATAATAACATGAAAAAAATATTACCATATTTGTGTATATCTTTATTACCTGTTCGTTAAATCGGATTAAATTATAATTAAACTCACCAATTTTCTTCCTTAGATTTTTCTGCTCCATTTTAGGCTATACAGTAACAAAACCTTGTCAAACTTGCTTCGGTTGCTTGTGTGTCGATATCATGTAAACGCTGCTTTTATATATTTATATTATTTGACGCACGCGTAAATTATCATTAAATTTATGCGCGAAAAATCAAATCGATTTTAACAAACCAGAATTATAACAAAACACACTCATTCTTAGATAAGTATACACACAAACGGACATTAAAACATATCATTTAATATTAATGCCAAATTTTGCAATTTATTTAAAATTATAGTATATAAGTATTCGTTATCTCACATATCGTGATACAATTGTAAATATCCAAATAAATAAATAGCACCTATAGACACACATATATATATATATATATATATATATATATATATATATATATATATATGGTGTATGTCAAATAAGAAAGAAGTCGAAATTTATTGGTTCTAAATAATGTTGTAGCTTAGGAAGAAAAAAATATAGATCAATTTAAAATAACAGATGTAACATATTATCGAAAATATAAAATATAATTCGAACATCTACAGTTTTATATTAGAATATAATTAAAATAAATTGAGAATTTTACATATTTATAAATGATAAAAATACTTGCAATATTTTCTCTAAATTTACGATAGCACATTTAATTTTTTTACAAATTTTGTAAGCTACATATTTAATACACATTTTATAATATATTTAATGTTAAATTTTGACAGAGATAATTTTTTTGGCGTTCAAATGTTTCTTCTATAAAATTTGAAAGAAATAATTCAATGATTAACATTTATGATAAAAACTTTATACATAAATGTATACGCGTATATACGTATATATTCACTTAAATATATATATTTGTATTTATATACATACGTATTTATATACATATATTTGATTTGCTATTTTATCGGTTTAACTTAATCATAAAATATATTGGGCGGATGAAATGCAAAGTAACTATAATCGACAAAAAAAAGACTTGAAAATTATAAAATAAAGTTAAAATAATTACATTTTCACCAACTAAATTTCTGTTACCAATCGCCATTACAAAAAGTATATCCGATTTGTGTACTTCTGAATTTAAGAGAAGCTACTGTAAAAGCTAAAAATGGTATAATTTAATAATTTTCTTTAGCAAAACAGCATAGCGGATAATTTAAAATTTTAAGCAATTATTAGTTACTTACATATATATAAAAATTGTTTTCTGCAATGTACTGTCTGTAAAAGGTGCTTTATAAAAACAAACTCGTATATCCCAATAATCAGAGTTTTAAATTTGCAAGCATTCTCATATCTTTAAACCCCGTTTTAAATTATAAAACCAATTTTTTAATTATTTATGATATTGTATTGCCAATTATCTAATAAAATAAAAAAATGGTATAAAATTGACAATATGGTGCAGCTTATAACAAAACAATAATAAATTTTTAGTATTTTAATTTCAGATAAAATTTGGATGTATATGAAATTACTCGTCAATTTGCAATTTCGACGGCAAAAAGATTCCTCAAAGGCAATCTACACAGTCTACATTTTTAAATAAAAAAATGTTGTACTTAAAAAATTTAATAACAATTGCCTAAAAATGTTGAAATAATTCGCTGTAGTTTTTCCAAAAAAAATTCTCACAAATCATATTTTTTAAAACTTCAAAACTGGCTTCCCTTAAATTTGTTATCATAATTATGAAGACTTTCCAATAAACTCCTAGAATGAACAGTTCGTTTGATAAGATTTGTATCTGTCAACCCAATAATTCAAGAAACGGGCTTGCCAACTTCATTAAAGACGCCGATATAGAGAATATCTGCGTTCATTTTATCGTAAATTAACCAAAGAAATGGATAATCGGTATTCACGTCGGTTATAATGTCGTTCGAACAAGGTTCCTGTCCGCTGATCACGGTTACTGCAACCGCCTTGACGTTCTCTTGCGTGACCTTGACACGAGCACGGTGCACGGCATTGCCGAAGTGCACGAATTGATTGTCTTCCGCGAAGGTGTTGTCCAAAGGAATCGCGTCGGGCGTCAATAACTGTTCGACGCCTAGTTCTCGCAACAAAACTTGCATATCTAAATTTTTTTCAATTTCAAAGATCAGCCGAGTAGGAACAGATGGTAATTTATCTTTTTGTTCGTTTTTACAAGACAGCAATTTTCGAAGTATACGCATTCCTTCGCTGGTTGACAATCTTTCAATCAAGCTGGATAGACCAGTGCTCATATCTGTTTTAACCGTGTTGTTTGTGGTTGTTGAAGAAGATATCAACATATACAGCGACGTAAAATGTTCCTTGATGATTAACTCCTTTACGTCCACCTGCAATTCATCACTGGAAACTAAAAAAAACATCCATATTATTATACATCAATTTTACATTTCAAAGAATTAGAAATTATTTGAGTAAACATATAGCATGCCTTAGTTATAAGAAAGTGTAAATAAAATAAGTGGCAATATAACGCGATAAATAAATTAATTTATTTTTAACATATTCAAACACTTATTAACAATATTTATACGACTTAAAATCAATGCATAATTTTTAATTGGGCCTTTTATCAAGAAATAAATAATAAATTGATGAATTACGCTTTGTTTAAGATTAATTTTCATAATTTACTAAATTTTCTAAAATTTAACAACATGTAAAAAGCTATGTAAGATAGTGCAAAAAATATATATGCTCACATGTTTTAAAATTCAGATAAGAAGAAGTCGATTGAGAGACGATTAGATTTCGACCATGGAAATGAAATACGTTTGCCAAAAAAATATCCATATCTTCTGTTTTTACTTTTAAGTTCATTAATTTACGAAGGAAATTTTTTAGCAAAGGTTGCAGAGATTCATTGAACTCTCTATTTGTATCCTGGATATTATTATTTCTTTTAGATCGGAATCCAGCATTGTACAGTCGTCTCAGTGTTTTTAAGTCTTTACAAAGTTTTTTGTTTAAAAATATACATTGATTTTGAATTACATAATGGTAAGGCATATAAGAAGTAGCATTCTAGAACATTAAAAAAAATGTTTAAAAGATCCCTATTCATTCTTAAATATAGGATTTATATCACGTTCTTAAAATGTTTGTTTCACATGTTTATTTACATAAACTGAATCTTTGTATCATATTATAAAATTGCATCAATTTACTTCATTCAAATTAGTCTACATAGAAATAAGTCACAATTTAATATTTTGACATTTTTTATTATAATATTTTTGATTAATATTATTATTGAAATAAACGTCAAAATTATTTACCTTATAGCGTACAGGTCGGTGTCCGGGGTATTTATCAAAATTAATAATTTTCAGCAACTCATACTTCGAAACATTTGGTAAATAAAGAATATCTCTTAAACGCTGTTCCATTTCACCACTTGAAATCATATAAACAGAATAAAGTCCGTGATATATATTATATGGACTAAAAACAAAATCTTCCTTTGGCTTGATCGACGCATATTTATGCAGACTTGTCACCGCGAACTTGAACATCGCCTCTGATATTACAGAATCTGACAAATAAAAAAGAATATAAATAAAGATCAAGAGAAATTGATAAAAAAGATACGTTAAAATTAACAATGATGATTAAATTACAATTGTTGAAATTAATAAATAAGTTATAACAATTTACAAAATTTGTAATTAAATAAATGAAAATACAGTGTACGTAACGTCTTCAAATCTTTTCGTCATTTTTTTGCATGTCTACAAACAAAAATTTTTAACATCTAAACAATTTAACACTAAATTTGAAATACGATAAAATAAAAAGTATGCGTACATAGAATGATAATCGAAAAAGAAATAGCTTTGAGAGGTAAATGTACTCTTACATATCTTATGTTTACTAATATGTCCATAATCAAACTATACAAATTATATTAATTAACAAACTCGTTGAAAAGTATGTTGATTATATTTTCAAAAATTAAAAACATCTGATATTTATTCAAATATAAATTTAATCATCTGCGTGGTGAAAATGTTGTACCTTAATATTAAACTTATTACGTGTATATTGTTAAATTCTGAAACGATTCGCTAAAATACATTATTACCGACCGATCTAGAAATGTGTAATGTACGCGATTCTACTTAAATCAGAAAATCGCAAGATTTGCTGTATGTATTATAGTCATTATTGCATCGTATAATATTAAATTACTCAATAATAATTTGTAAAAAATAATAATAATATCACGAAGAAAGTATTAGCACTGTATATATTAACTATTTTATTGACTTACTAACTAATTTCTCAGTTTTTTGTTCCATTTTAAGCTATACTGTAGCAAAACTGTGGCGAACTTGCTTTGTCTGTTTGTGCTTCAATATCATATGTAGCCACAGCTTTTATATATTTATATTATGTCGCGCACGCGTCCTGAAAAGTCTAATCGTTTTTAGCTCTTTAGAATTATTACATATACACACGAATACAAATACATTCCTTTGTGGAAATAAAAACACATAATCGAAATATTAAAACATATCTTTCAATTCAATGTCAAAAATTTGTACTTTATTTATAATTTTATCAGTATTCGTTATCTCATACATCGTGGTACAATTATAAATATCCAAAGAAGTAAATATATATGGTGAATATCAAATAAGAAAGAAATCAAAATTTATTGGTTCTGAATATGTTGTAGCTTAGAAAAAAAAAATATAGATCAATTTAATAAAACTGATGTAACATATTATCGAAAATATGAAGTATAATTCGAAAATCTACAGCAATATATAATAAAATTAAAATAAATTGAGATAATCACATATTTAAAAATAGTGAAAATATTTGCAACATTTTCACGAATTTTACGATAACACATTTAATATTTATAAAAATGTTGTAAGTCACATATTTAATATTTATTCTATAATATATTTAATGTTAAATTTTGACAGAGAATTATTTTTTGGCGTTCAAATGTTTTTTTCAAATAATTTAAGAGAAATAATTCAATGATTAACGTTTATGATAACATTTGAAAAAAGTAATTCAATGATTTGCAATTTTGATAAAAGTTTTATACATAAATGTATACGCGTATATACGTACATGTTCACATAAATATGTGTATTATACACATATTAGTATTTATATACATATGTATACATATATTTGATTGTATTATTTTATCGGTTTCCAAAGTTCTAACATAAATTAATCATAGAATATATCAGGCACATATAATGCGAATTAACTGAAATCGACAAAAAATTTACTTTAAACTTTAAAAACTTTATACATAAATGTATACTCGTATATACGTATTATAAATACATATATCATATAAATATATGCATTAGTATTTACATACATATGTATACATATATTTGATTGTGTTATTTCATCGGTTTAACATAAATTAATCATAGAATATATCGAGCTGATATAATGCAAAGTACCTGAAGTCGACAAATAAATTGACTTAAAAATTATAAACTAAAATAGTAAGTACATATTCCACTAACTACAAATCTGTTATCAATCGCCATTTCAAAAAATATATCCGATTTGTGTACTTCTAAATTTAAAAGAAGCTAAAAAGAGTATCATTTAACAATTTTTTAGTAAAACAGCATAGCGGATCATTGCAAGATTTTAAGCAATTATTAATTATTACATATATATAAATGTTCTGCAATGAATGGTCTGTAAAGAGCGCTTTATAAAAATCAACTCGTATCTTAATCACCAGTTGTAAATTTGCGAGCATTTTCATATATATTAATTGGTTTTAAATTAAAATATCTATTTTTTTATTATTTATTATATTGTATTGCTGATTAACAAATAAAATAAAAAAAAAGTATAAATTTAACAATATGGTGCAAATTTAGACCAAAATAATAATAAATTTTTAGTATTTAATTTCAGACAAATTTAGATGTATATGAAATTACTTGTCAATTTGCAATTTCCACGGCAAAAAGATTCCTCATAAGCGATCTTCACAGTCTACATTTTTAAATAAATAAAATGTATATACGAAAATTTAATAACAATTGCCTAAATATTTCCAATAATACGCTGTAAAGTTTTTCCAATAGAAAATTCTCGAAAATCATATTTTTCAACGCTTCAAAACTGGCTTCCCTTAAATTTGTTATCATAATTATGAAGACTTTCCAATAAACTCCTAAAATGAGCAGTTCGTTTGATAGGATTTGTATCCTGTCAACCCAATTCAAGAAACGGTCTTGTCAACTTTATTAAAGACGCCGATATAGAGAATATCTGCGTTCATTTTATCGTAAATTAACCAAAGAAATGGATAATTAATATTCACGTCGATTATAATGTCGTTCGAACAGGGTTCCTGTCCGCTGATCACGGTTACTGCAGCCGCCTTGACGTCCTCCTGCGTGACCTTGACACGAGCACGGTGCACGGCATTGCCGAAGTGCACGCTTTGATCGTCTTCCACGAAGATGTGGTCCAAAGGAATTGCGTCGGGCGTCCAAATTGCTCAACGCCTAATTCCCGCAACAGTGCACGCATATCCAGATACTTTTCAATTTCGAAGGTCGGCGGAATAACGATAGACAGTGGTTTATCTCTTTTTGCACAAGACAATAATTTCTGAAGTATATCCATTCCCTCGCTTGTTGACAATCTTTCAATCAAGCTAGAAAGGCCAGTGCTCATATCTGTTTTAACCGTGTTGTTTGTGCTTGTTGAAGAAGGTATCAACATATACAGCGACGTATAATGTTCCTTGATGATTAACTCCTTTACGTCCACCTGCAATTCATCACTGGAACCTAAAAAGAACATCCATATGTTATTTTACATTTTAAAGAATTAGAATTATTTGCGTAAACATATATCATGCCTTAGTTATAAAGAAATGTAAAAAAAAAAAATGGCAATATAATGCGATAAATAAATTAATTTATTCTTAACATATTTAAACACTTATTAACAATATTTATACTTAAAATCAATGCATAATTTTTATTTGGGCCTTTTATAAAGAAATAAGTAATAAGATGATGAATTATACTTTGTTTAAGATTAATTTTCATAATTTACTAAATTTTCTAAAATTTAACAACATGTAAAAGCTATGTAAGATAGTGCAAAAAATATATATGCTCACATGTTTTAAAATTCAGATAAGAAGAAGTCGATTGAGAGACGGTTAGATTTCGACCATGGAAATGAAATACGTTTGCCAAAAAAATATCCATATCTTCTGTTTTTACTTTTAAGTTCATTAATTTACGAAGGAATTCTTTAGCAAAGGTTGCAGAGATTCATTGAACTCTCTATTTGTATCCTGGATATTATTATTTCTTTTAGATCGGAATCCAGCATTGTACAGTCGTCTCAGTGTTTTAAGTCTTTACAAAGTTTTTTGTTTAAAAATATACATTGATTTTGAATTACATAATGGTAAGGCATATAAGAAGTAGCATTCTAGAACATTAAAAAAATGTTTAACAATCTCTATTCATTCTTAAATATAAGATTTATATCACTTTCTTAAAATGTTTGTTTACATGTTTATTTACATAAACTGAATCTTTGTATCATATTATAAAATTGCATCAATTTACTTCATTCAAATTAGTCTACATAGAAATAAGTCACAATTTAATATTTTGACATTTTTTATTATAATATTTTTGATTAATATTATTATTGAAATAAACGTCAAAATTATTTACCTTATAGCGTACAGGTCGGTGTCCGGGGTATTTATCAAAATTAATAATTTTCAGCAACTCATACTTCGAAACATTTGGTAAATAAAGAATATCTCTTAAACGCTGTTCCATTTCACCACTGAAATCATATAAGCAGAATAAAGTCCGTGATATATATTATATGGACTAAAAACAAAATCTTCCTTTGGCTGATCGACGCATATTTATGCAGACTTGTCACCGCGAACTTGAACATCGCCTCTGATATTACAAGAATCTGGCAAATAAAAAAGAATATAAATAAAGATCAAGAGAAATTGATAAAAAAGATACGTTAAAATTAACAATGATGATTAATTCAATTGTTGAAATTAATAAATAAGTTATAACATTTACAAAATTTGTAATTAAATAAATGAAAATACAGTGTAACGTAACGTCTTCAAATCTTTTCGTCATTTTTTTGCATGTCTACAAACAAAAATTTTTAACATCTAAACAATTTAACACTAAATTTGAAATACGATAAAATAAGAAGTATGCGTACATAGAATGATAATCGAAAAGGAAATAGCTTTGAGAAATAAAGTACTTACATCATCTTATGTTTACTAATATGTCCATAATCAAACTATACAAATTATATAATTAACGAACTCGTTGAAAAGTATGTTGATTATATTTCCAAAAATTAAAATATACACAAAATTTGAAATTGTCAATAATTATTAATATCTATAAACATCTGATATTTATTCAAATATAAATTTAATCATCTGCGTGGTGAAAATGTTGTACCTTAATATTAAACTTATTACGTGTATATGTTAAATTCTGAAACCATTCGCTAAAATACATTATACCGACCGATCTAGAAATGTGTAATGTACGCGATTCTACTTGAATCAGATATTCGCAAGATTTGCTGTATGTATAATAGTCATTATTGCATCGTATAATATTAAATAATCTCTAAAAACTCACCTTAAAAAAAGGTAAAAAAAGGCGACCAGTTAAGGGCACGCATAACAAAAATTATCCATTGCAAACCCATGTAGAATCCTATCCTATTGCAAACCCATGTAGAATCCTATGAAAAATTAATCATTGCAAACCCATGTAGAATCCTAGGCAAAATTAACCATTGCAAACCCATGTAGAATCGTACCCATTGCAAACCTATGTAGAATCCTATGAAAAATTAACCATTGCAAACTCATGTAGAATCCTATGAAAAATTAACCATTGCAAACCCATGTAGAATTGTATTAAAAATTATCCATTGCAAACTTATGTAGAATCCTACATTGCAAACCCATGTACAATAGAATTGTATGAAAAATTATCGATTATAAACCCATGTACAATCGTAACAAAAGTAATGAAATAAAAAAAAATTGCGCCAAGTGAAAGTAGAAACTTGTACCAGTGGAAAATTAAAGTTGCAGACATATATAGAGTCGTATAATGAATCAGTAAAAATTTAAATTTGCAAATGTAGAATCGTACCATAAAAAAACTTATCTTTAAAAAAAAAGATAAACAAGATGCCAAGTCCATGCGCCATGTGAAAAAGAAAATAAAAATTTTAGTTAAAAAAACTGGGCGCGCTGCTAAGTTTCAAAATTACAATGCACCTTAAAGTAACATTAATTAATTTAAACACAAAACATATTTTAACTGTAATGAGTTTAAAAGTAACAATTAA